TGACAGAATAGAAGAAAACTAGCTTGCCGGAACGTTGACAAAAGTTATGAAGGAAAGACACAACAGCCCGATCAGCCCCCTTTCAGCATACGATTTTAGAATACTCAATTTGGTGTTCTGATACTTGCTCTGGGGACAACTACACCTTCAATTTGATGCACCTTCATTCGTCAAAAACATATAGGTATCATGTTCTCATGTTGTCATCTTCGATTTCGGTAAGGTAACGGTAAGGGTTAGGACAACAGTGGGGCTGATAAGTGCTTGGTCAACGGATACATTTTGGAATTCACCTCGACAGTGTGGAATAATTAAATGTCGCCAGATCGGTGATCCCACATTATTTTATTCCCGACGCATTATTATAGGTCTTCTCCGGGCTTCATTTCGTTACAAATATATGGATCGCGTTGTCATCTTAGATTTTAGGTTATAGGTTTATGGGGTTAGGATTAAGATTAGGCTAATCACTGCTTGGTCAACTGTTGAAGTTAGGAATTCAGCTATTGTAGAATATTTTCCTTGGGACAAATATCGCCAGATCGGTGACCTGACATTTACTCCTGCGACAATTAGCCCTACCCCGGACTTTTTTCGTCAAAAAATATAGAAATCATGTTGTCGTTAGGTTAGCTTTATGGGAAAGGTTAAGATTTCCATGAGGCTGATAAGTGCCTGGTCAACTTTTAAAGTTAGGATTATTTGCAAAGAAGCAATATTTTGTCGCCAGATCAATTTTGCTCCTGTGACAATTTCCGTGGGCTTTATTCAACAAAGGTAATGGGTTAGGCTAAGGGTTATCATTGAGTTTTGGGTTAGGTTTATGGTAAGGGTTAGGGTTGGGATGAGGAACAATAATGTCGTCAGCTCATCGTTTACCACCGGTACATTCAATATTTCTTACCTCTTTCAACAGCAGATCCAGCTGGGGTTTCTAATAAGCCTTGAATGATAAAGATGGTCATGATTGTCTTCCACTTTGAATCCATTGTAATGTTTTTTTTCTTCTTCCGAATAGAATAAAAGTTTTAAAACCAATCCTGAGATGCAGTAGTTTTCTCTACCTATGATCTATGATTCAGTAGAACCGAAGGCCAACTCTGGGTCTAAAATCACGTTGCACAAAAAGGAAAAGTTATAACTCAGAGTAGTTTATTTTGCACCAGATATTGATTAAAAGCGTAAACCCAAATTTTAGTAGAATACGCGTCTTATATGTCTCCGCCAAACGAAACGAAAGGCACGATATGATAAAACATACACATTTTAACAGGGGAAATCGTCTGCGGTTCCTATAGGCCGTTATTCACAATCGACGTTTCATTTCTCCCCCCCCCTCTCTCTCTCTCCCTCTCTCCCTCATTCTTAACATCGTACTCTCTCCACGTCTCTCTATCCCTTTAGTCTCATTCCCTGTAACATGTCTGCTTGCTAGTTTGATCTCTTTCTCCCTGCTCCTATCTCATCCCTGTCTCTGTCCTTCCCTTCCTCTCTCTCTCTCTCTCTCTCTCTCTCTCTGTTTTTATCGGTACTCTCTTTTCCCATTAATTTCAGGGTCTAAAAACGTATCTTCGCTTTCATTTCAAATACACTTGAATGTCCTAAAATGAGAACACCCCGCTCCGACTCAATGAATTTGTCCCTAGTTGTGTTTATTTGTGAATATCCAATGAATTGAGCGCACGTATCAATTATGTTATAGAAATGTTCTGATGGGTCAACCCCAAAACCCAAATAAATATTTATGAAATTAAATTAATGGCTAAACGTGTTTATCTCACCGTCACCTTTTTGTAACAATGTCCTTGTAGGAGCATGAAATTAGTATCGAAATATCGAAAGGAAATGAGGAGGCGTCAGTAGGCCTACATGCACACTTAATGAAAAATGGTTATTTGTGATAAATAATATCCAATGATTGAGCGCACGTATCAATTATGTTATAGAAATGTTCTGATGGATCAACCCCTAAACCCAAATAAATATTTATGAAATTAAATTAATGGTGAAACGTGTTTATCTCACCATCACCTTTTGGTAGTGGCTGATCAAAGGGTGGGGGCTCCACCCTGGGGAAAAAACGTGTAAAAACACGTTAATTTGACCTTTTTATTTTAAAAGGGCCTCCACACCTGGCGCTCGGGGGGGGGGGGGGTGCGATTTTTCAAATTTTCGAGGCCCCCCCCCCCAAAAAAAAAGAATTATTGCTCACTACCCCCCCCCCCCCCCCACTGAACGAATTATCGGCCGGCTATTTCGCCGCTAAATAGTTTCTCACGAATTGCCCCCCCCCCCCCCTGCCGCCTGCTGGATCCGCCCCTACCTTTAGGTAACAATGTACATTGTTGCCCACAAAGTTGGAATAATTTTTCTTACCTCTATTAAATGAAATGAGTGTGACAGTGCGACTTGTTCTTGATAGATAAAGCTTACACCTTTTCAGAACTTTATTGACCAGTATTGAGTTGATATGATTTTGTTCGCGAGTGCGATTTCAGCACGAATGATGACCGGCAATAGCGATCGCAATATCACTTACATATTGTTAACTTTCATTGATTTCTTTCATCTGTATAGTGTCTTTCGTCAGTTTTATGTAATAAGCAACATTATCCTTTCTTCTTGTTTTTAGTTTATCTTTATCTTATTCAAAGAAAATACGGTACATGGAAAACAATCAAAACATGCAAGAAACGTATACAGCAAAAGCCATAGACTCAATGAAGTGGTTACGTGCTTTTGTTTATGTTAAGGACTTGCTACAATCGCCTACGTCATATTATTTTGGGCGTTTTATTGGTCTGATTTGGGCGAGTAAATGAATAATGAAAATATTAACAAAAATCTGAAATAATTCTTTTACAAATTCCTGAGGTCAAAACCTTTCACTGATATATAGTTTTATAAAGAGTGGCTACTTTAAGTACGTTGTCACTCCGTCTAATTGCAGGACGGGGAAAATGTTGAACAGGCTCAAAGTTATAGAGCGCCCTTCACGTCCAAACCAGTCAGAGCCCGTCCATAAAGTTCTTAAACAGATCGTAAACAGTTGCTACTACGTTCAGTCCGTTCGCACACAGTTCGAGCCCGTTTGGCAACGTTTTTCAGAACGTAGTGAGAACTAGTTTGGTGTGATGGGGGCTTTTAATAATGTGGAGCGCTAGGAATGTTAAGTCTGACAGACATGAGCGCTACACAAGAACTCACTATCATTATATTGCCTTTATTACGACAAAAGTATATTTATACTTATCAAAAATCAAAATTTTATGGGGAAAAAGAAGTTTCTACTTGGTCACCACACATCCTGATATATTTGAACTAATAAGTCAGTCCCGCTTGCCTTTTTCTATCACCCACTCTGTCTCTCTTTTTCTTCTTTGATAATAACCCCAATTTAGTTTGCACATTTTACGGTGTTACATGGCTACCGGTACTGTATTTTGAAATGTAATTCATTTTCTCTATTTATGAGGGCAAACTTGGAAGCTTAATATTGCTTAAATATGAAACCTTCTGTCTAGCCTCTACTAATTCTATTCAATAAACTTTTCAATTTTTTTTTAACTTCCCAACAAGAGTTCTATTTCATTATTTAGAAATAGATATCTGTAATTAACTGTCAATATGAATGAAGACAACAAGTACACAAAATGGTATATACAAATGTTCATATCAGAAGTTTATTACGTGATTCTGAATTTCAAGGTGAAAAAAATCATTTCTTTGAGATCATAATCAAGGTTTACATCTTCTATTGAAATAAATATAACGGTACTTAGAAATCATACCATAAATGGACGGAAAACGTATTGAAGTACAATTTGTCACAAACTCAAACTGAGTTAATTACTCATAATAACTATACATACAAATATGCTCTTGATACAAAACGTATAAGACGCTTCTTGACCTCTACTCAGGAAAGCAATCATCTTCTTCAAATACAAAATATACAGCTGTTTTTTATATCTATATGTTCACAAGTTACAAAATTTACAGGCACTTTCCACTCATGCTTTTATAAACAACACATCTTCAAGAATACTGAACATCACTGGCAAGAAACAGGTAAATCACATGAATATTGATACAATTTGATTGAATTTACCATTTCCTTTTCTCAGTATGTGAATAACCTTTTCTGATAATCCCATTACGGTAATCCAAAACAATTGAGTAAAATTCCACTCTAGCATTAGGTTGATTCTAATTGAAGCAGATAAACGTGTCTGTGCAATTGACCGATCAATGATTTCAATTTCCACGCAGTATCTTCTCAAACTTGTAACAAAAATATCTCAATGAAAACATTTTCTTATGGGTGGTCATTAGATTTGTTTCCAAAACTTTACAAATATCTTTTTTTTCCTCTTTAGTTAGTTGAATCTACTTTGTTTCACCTTACAGCACCCTCATGCATACAGCTGGAAGCACTGAAATGAAAGGCCAGCAAAGTTGCAATTATTTCGAAAAGAAGAACTATCACCCTACATATAATTTGCACATTGTTAGGAAACGTAAAATCTGAAACATTCATATGATTGTGGCACAATAATTCATATACATGTAAGGTAGAGACTGGTATAACTGTTAACTCAGCTGCCTTAAATTGAAATGTGAGAAACTGGTATTTTGAATGAAGCATTATGGCGTGGAAACCACCAAATCACAGAGCGGCCCCAAAAGAATTCACCAGCTCAGATCTGTTATTTCAACTACACCATGAACAAAATGTGATTGGTTTTATATTTTATTGGGTAGAAAATTCTTTTCAGGCCACCCTGTATAACGCAAATCATTTATGGCGAATGGTTACCCTATAATAATCCTCTTTACATCTATACTATATTAAAAATGACATTTGGCTGGAATGCTCCTCAGGGAATGGAGAATGTGCATACATTGTGTGCGGGTAAGCCTAAATCCGATGACCGGGGTAATAATATATATCTGTAAAGCGTTTTGAGAGGGCCTGCGGTCCTGAAAAGCGCTATATAAGAACAAACTATTATTATTATTATTATTATTATTATTATTATCATTGTTATTATTATTATTATTATTTAGAGAAAACAAAATATGTTTAAATTCTTGATCCCCTATGTGATTGTCCTTCTCTTCTCCTACTCTCTCTATCACTCCTTCCTTTCCTTTCCCTTGTCTTCCTTCCATCTGCACTGCTCTCTCTGCTTCTTCTTGAATGTGACTCTCTGGATCCCTGTATAGGAAGGGGAGGGGAAGGGGAGGGGGAAATAATGATAATGGTTAACCGTTTTTGTTGGTACATCACTCTATTGATACTTCAGCAATACAGGAACAATTATCTCAGGCTAGAGTCCATGGAAAGAGCAAAGGGCCTGCTTGCTCATCCTTTGACCCACTCTTGTGTCACCTCACAAAATATAATTTAAACTTAACTTAATTTTGTCTGTTATTGCCTTAGTCATATTGGTTATGAATTTTGTTATGTACTGTATATTATACTTTGTGAGAATATCAAACCACATTGGTATGTATTAATGCCAATGTAAATTGTACATAATTTAGCAATTTGGCTACGGAGTGAAATTATAATAAAACCTTTTCAATCTATCAATCAAGTACTGCATACCAAAATTAAATCATATCCAACAGCTAGCTAATCTTGAGCTCTGGTATGGGCATTATATATCGAGAGAACATGGCTATAATTCATTCTGGATTGTTTATCCTGCAGTAGATTGATTGTTTGAACTCTAATGTGCATATAGTGACCTGTGTTAAGCACATGGTGTCCGGCCTACTTCCCTTGATTTCCTTATCTTTTTATGCTTATACTCTGCCCCTCTACATTTTCTACCAAAATTGTTTGGCACATGTCATTTATATGTAATCTTGAACATTCAGTGTAAGTTTTGTTGGATTCTGTGAGAATTTATTTTTTTATCATTACCAGAGAACTCAAGCTTATCTTTAAGACACAACACTACATCTATGATTTCTTTATCTTTTCAATACAAACTAAAGTAACAAACTTCATCAAAATTCATGCACGGCCCACAATGATTTGACTTTCAATCTTTTCTATCCTATCAATGGGAAGGATAAAATGTACTACCATTTTAAAGAAAGTTACTTACTCTTTTCCTGGATTCTTCCTTTGAGATCTCTTCAATGAAGTTTGATGGCACAAGGCCTTTCCTTCCTCGAACCTGATGGAGTGGAATAGAAACCAAACATGCATGATTTAAATGTTGTGTATCATTCAATATACTAACAGCTATCATTGAGGAATTGAGAAAGGAATTACCCGATGGCTCTGTAGCGTGGACCTGCCTTCGGCAGAGAGATATCATAATCTTTCAAAAGTAAAAGATTAGACTTCCATTCTATCTGCCTATCTGTATGTCTACCAATCAATCAACCAATCAACCAGTCAATCAGTCAATCAATCAATCAATCAACCAACCAACCAACCAATCAATCAATTGATCAATCAATCGATCAATCAATCGATCAATCAATCAATTAATCAACCAACCAATCAATCTATCAATCAATCAATCAACCAATCAATCGATCAATCAATCAATTAATCAACCAATCAATCAATCAACCAATCAATCAATCAATCGATCAATCAATCAATTAATCAACCAATCAATCAATCAATCAACCAAAAAATCAGTTGATCAATCAATCGATCAATCAATCAATTAATCAATTAATCAACCAATCAATCAATCAATCAACCTATCAATATTAATTAATCAACCAATCAATCAATCAATCAACCAATCAATCAATCAATTAATCAACCAATCAATCAACCAACCAATCAATCGATCAATTAATCAATTAATCAACCAATCAATCAATCAACCAACCAATCAATCAATTAATCAACCAATCAATCAATCAATCGATCAATCAATCAATTAATCAACCAATAAATCAATCAACCAACCTATCAATATTAATTAATCAACCAATCAATCAATCAATCAATTAATCAACCAACCAATCAATCAATCAATTAATCAACCAATCAATCAATCAATCAATTAATCAACCAATCAATCAACCAATCAATCAATCAACCAACCAATCAATCAATTAATCAACCAATCAATCAATCAATCAACCAACCAATCAGTCAATCAATCAATTAATCAACCAATCAATCAACCAACCAATCAGTCAATCAATCAATCAACCAACCAATCAATCAATTAATCAACCAATCAATCAATCAACCAACCAATCAGTCAATCAATCAATCAATCAATTAATCGACCAATCAATCAATCAACCAGTCAATCAATCAATCAATCAATTAATCGACCAATCAATCAACCAGTCAATCAATCAATCAATTAATCGACCAATCATTCAGTCAGTCAATCAATCAGTCAATATATCTATCTATCTTTCTATCGCTTACTGTAAACACTGTTATTTTCTTAGATTAATTTTTAGTGTTGAGCGACCCCAAAACATATTCGCGTTGCATGCAATTCAGCCCGTTCAAAACACGCATAAGAAGTCATGCTTATATTTTTGCGAGTTCTACAATTGCGCTTGCTGATCTCAGAGTGAAATCTGCGAAATTTAATGTACTGCAAATATTTCTACTTTTACAGAGTATCTAAGCCTCACCTTCCCATGGTAGAAACCATCGGGTCTCTTATCTCCATACACTGTTATCAGATCGCCCTCTGTGAATGTCAGCTCATACTCTGGATTGTCATTGGGTGAATGGCTATCTGGATCATATGTGTATATCGCCATGAACTGTAAGGAGAAAAAAAAGAAAGAAAAGATGTTTAGAATGGTAACAATTCTATTCACCAATGAACCTGCCTCAAGTCCATGCTTAATTTAGTTTAAATATATTTTGCTAATCTCTTTTCATGACCCATAATAATGCCTAGCGTAAGACCAAACAAAAATATCACTCAGTAGTCTCTTTTTTATTTCTGGCTTAACCAATAGCCACAAACAACTCACTAGCTGCTCTTCACTGTTAATTGCATGGTTGGTTTGTTTGTTTTACCTGACTGCTAAGAAAGCATGGGTGTGTTCGTAAATAGGCAACAAGGGACTTGGTAGTGAGGATTAATTCCTTACCAAAGGGCACTAGCGCATCGACTTGGTTTCTAACCTGGGACCTCCTGGTTATGAGACCACTGCTCTACCACTGAGCCATTGCACCTCCCAATGCTACGGTAAAGTTCAAGATGGGATAACTTACCAGTCTTTCTTCCTTGTGACCATACTTTGGACCTGATGAGACTTCTGAGCTGATGATGGATTCGCTTCTCCGAGACTCCGATGCCGTTGATGAAGGGATGCTTGATGCAGGGTTGTAGCTCAGTTCGGCCATGTTGGATATTTGGCCATTAGCACCCACAGAACAAATGGCAAACCTGTAGATTGTCTTCAAGTAGATGCCATCAACCAGTGCCTATATTAAAGAGATAATCATAATTAATCTTTAAATTGACATACATTTTCTTCTGTTTAAGCAAAATACAGATATTGGTTTAATACATTTTTATTTTTCATATTAGTGATAAGGTAGAATAATCATTGAGAGGCAGGAAATTCTGCATCTTATTTTCATAAATAATGTACCGGGTAACTATGTTTTACTACAAAAGCTGCCAATACTGGCATAAAAGACCTGTTTATTTTACTTCCAAAGAAAATATTAACTACCAATTTTACAACCATATTGTAAGCTAAATAGAATGATTGGCTTGAAAGTTGCTGATCAAAATATTGGAAATTTATGTCAATATCTCCAAAAGTTCAAGATCCCTACGACTGAAATTCAAGAAATACTTAATAGAGTAACATGTCCATAGAGAAAGAGGACAATAAAAACATTCCTCACAACACAAATGACTGATGGTTTGTTGCAAAAGATAAGAAAAACAAAGACTTATCATTACCTTGGTCATATGAGCACTTGACACCAGCTGTTTCTGCTGACCATTGACATGTATCCTATAACCTACGACCTCCACACCGTTGCTACGACACATGACATCCATAGCGGGCAGGCTCCATGTGAGTAGTACGCTGTGTTTGCTGACCTCGCGGGAGATGGAGAGAGACCTCGGAGGGTCGGGTATACCTGATCAAGGCAAGAAATAAAGAGATAATTAATTAGCTATGACATTGCGTATGAATCCTTTTTGTAAATTAGATTAACTTCAAAATATACGTCGTAAGCTGTTACATGAAGAAAGTTTCGTACTTATAGACCTACATAAATCAAATGTATCTCAAACTAAAGTATAAAAGACATATGTATATATGTATAAACATTGCAAAATGAAAGTACATGTAAAAGGAAGATATACAAGTTTGTACTATTTTGAAGACATCAATACAATTCTGGATGGATTTGAATAAATGTTAATTACCTAATGAGCACAAACAATTATAAACAATCTATAGGTTATGAGAAAAATGCAATTTATATAGATAGATTTATATTCTCAAGTCCCTCCTAAGAAATTTCAGGAAATATAACAATTTGATGATTGAAAAATACATATTGCAAACATATATATATATTTTTTTTAATTCAGTGCTGAGTAATTTAAAGATCTAATTTCCAAGTGAGCTCACCTGCGCTTAAGCCCTGGTTGTGAGCACTATAAGTCGGATCCTGATAAAGACCATTGCTATTCGGTTGATTGCCTGGTAAATTCAAGACGTTCTGATGACTGAGTGGCAAACTAGCACCAACAGAGGACGTCGGTCCTACCCCATACATTTGTGATGGCATCTGCGGTTGCCCATTGGTCATTGGATGTCCATTGGGTAACATACCAGGAGGGGGACGAGGGACAGAGTTATTCAGCATTTGAGGTACCGCTTGTGGAGCCTGGGGGTGGAGTCTCTCCTGTGGGTATTGGTTGGGGGTAGAGACACCGGTATAAAGAGCTGAGGGGTGAAGCCCAAGACCCTGTAGAGGTGCTGCCGGTAGCTGTGCTGGTCCTAGGGTACCAGGGACACCCCGTGGTTGGTGCTGAGGGATGGACGGTGTCTGATGAGGGGGGTACCCCTGGGGTAAAGATGGTGGAGCAAGAGGTGGTTGATGTAGAGGAACATTGCTTTGATATTTGGGTTGGGAAGGATGTTGCAAGGTGGGAGGGTAGGTCAGTTGGGTGGCAAGAGGAGATGAGAGGAGTCCATCTGGTAGATCCAGACCAAGAGACCCAGGTGATGTTTGGTTGCTGCCTGGCAGGGGCACTCCCATCGAGGTTGGCCTTGTCTGAACAGAAAGGAAAGTGGTACAACACCAAATTATTATAATGTTAATGTAAGGGGGCACGTCCTATAAATATGAGTCAAACAGAACATACTAAAAATAACTAAATGTTAATATTTTAGATCTGCTACATTGTACACTATTTGATGACAAACTTTCACCAACAATTTGCTTTCTCACTCTAAGAGTTCTTCAATCTACAAACCTCCTATGACTTGCTCAACGATTCTGATACTGGCATTTACAATAATTTAATTGCCACATTTATTTCCTTCTCACTGATGTTTTTCATTCTTTTGTTAAAGAGCCCTGCAAGCAGTGTGTTCGTAGATGAAAGATATTAACAAGTTCATTGAACTCTCAAACATCTTCAAAGTGCAACTAACATAAGAAGAATAGATGACATTCATTCTCTGTTGATATCCAATCCTCGACCGAGTTTGGGTATCGACTTACCTGCCGATCTTTGACAGCCCTAGACTTGAAAGAAGGTTGAAGAGAACCAAATCCAAAGGAGACCGGTGACCTCCTTTTCCTGTCTCTGCTACCCAATCCAATACCGTTCCCAATGGAGAATTGGTCACTACCAGTCTCCCCAGCGGTTCCCAGGAGATCTAACTCATCCAAATCAATGTCATCTAAAGAACTTTTGATGCCATGACGATGACCTTTTGTTTGTTTCATAAGTTCTTGGAGCGAAATCTCCCCTTGATCCTCTTCCTCGTCTAACAACACATCAGCATTTTCCAAAGATTCTCTTTTCAAGAACTCCATTTCCTCAGCGTTCAACAATTCCGACAAGTCAGGCATTTGGTTCTTAGTCTGTTTCCTAGAACTCCTTTGTTTGCTTTGTCTAGTACGAGTCTTCAGGGGTTCGTTGTATGCTTCGTCGGGTAACAGAGTTGAAAGGTTGCCAATTTGCTCCAGGAGGTCGGAGGATTTGTCCGATTTCACCATGGCGATCTCTTGCTTGAGCTTCCTTATCAGATCATCTCGTTCCTGGCATTTCTTGGTGAGGTAAGAGACCTTCGCCTGAAAATTTCATAAAAAAGGGGGAAAGGGTAACATAAAGATTTGTAGGTTTCTACGCATACATGACCAAGAATTTCTTCCCGAATTAGTGGGTTACCCAAATTGCTTAAATTACATAGGCTATATTCCACTGGTGTTCATAAACTACATGGATCGTCAAAGAGGTAGGCAAATTTCACACTTTTAAATCATATTTTATTGCAACAAAAAAAATGGTTTTAAGATCAAGTTAAGCATTTCTTGGTGAGGTAAGAGACCTTCGCCTGAAAATTTCATAAAAAAGGGGGAAAGGGTAACATAAAGATTTGTAGGTTTCTACGCATACATGACCAAGAATTTCTTCCCGAATTAGTGGGTTACCCAAATTGCTTAAATTACATAGGCTATATTCCACTGGTGTTCATAAACTACATGGATCGTCAAAGAGGTAGGCAAATTTCACACTTTTAAATCATATTTTATTGCAACAAAAAAAATGGTTTTAAGATCAAGTTAAGCATTTCGTGGTGAGGTAAGAGACCTTCGCTTGAGAATTTCATTAAAAAAAAAGGAAAAGGGTAAAGATAAACATTTGTAGGTATTTACACATAAATCGCCAAGAAGAGTATTGTCGAAGAATTTCTTTTGGAACTAATGGGCTACCAATAATGCCTAAATGATACCAGTATACAATAAATTTCACTGGCATTCATAAACTACATGGATCCTCAAAGAGGAAGGCGAATTTCACAGCTTTAAATCATATTTGATTGCAAAAAAAAAATGCTGTTAAGATCAAGTTTCTTTGTATCCAGCAGAGTTTATATATAAAGAATGAATGATAGGGAGGATGTGCAACATGACCAATTCCCTACATAATATTCTGTCTATATCTACGTCTATTTGTGTCTAATTACCCCTCCCCCTCCTTCCCTTCCACCTCTCTCTCTTTGTATGTCTCTTTGCTTATCTATCTCAACCTTCCTCCCTTGCGGGTAACATACCTTTAGTGGAGCAACCGCTAGTTCAGCCTCGTTCCTTTCGTGTTCTAATGTCCCCATCTGAATGAACAAATACAATCAGAATATTCATGAGAACAATCAGAGAGAAAGAACAAAAAATCTCAGAAGGTCTGGCAAAATCTGTATCAATTCTCTTTAAAAAAATAAAAAAATTCTCAAAAGGTGCACAATACACAATGAAAAGGGAAAAAATGAATGAAAGAGAACATATGAAATAAAAAAAAAAGAAGTTTTCAACAGAAACATGGGAGGAAAAGTAGAATAAATCAGAGAATTTCTAACCTGATCCTCCAGTTGGGAATAGTGTTTCTCCAAGTCCTTGGTGTATGTGTCTTGAGTCTGTTTTGTTCTGAGTCTCTGCTGTAGACTGGCATTGTCTTCTGCTAACCTCATCTCGTTCTCCGTCTGATATCGAAGAGATAATAACAATAAAACGCTCATAGAAAAATGATGAACTGCAGAATAACTTACTATTTATCAGTATATTTGGATCAGGGTTAGGCCAACCGCACACTATATGATCTGATTATGATCCGATTTGTGAAGAATTTGCTATAGCATTTGATCTAAACATTCAAACATGTAAAAGCTCAATGATTGAGAATTTGAATAGTTATATGATTCAATGACAATATGTAAATTTCAAGGAATTTCAAGCATCCTTGGAGAAGTTCAAAGCTTATTGAAGTGACCCCACATTCAGTACAGATAAGAGGTAAGCAATGCAGTTTCTTTGATAATCCTGTATATTGGATAACTTACAGGGTCCGTTTTCTGTTACTCTAAAGAAACCAATACAATTGCACCGTAAAACACATTACGGAATTATGGATAAGATCATTCATCCTTAAAGTTCATCAGAGGTACATTTCTACAGATTTACCCTTTCAAAATTTGAACAATAGTGAATAGAGCACTAATTAAGGACATTATTAAGTTCTTTAAAAAAAATTCTTCATACCTTTTTGTTTTGGGTTGGGGATGCAAAGTTAAATCATGACCTCAATGAACTATACATATAATATGTGAGCAACTTCTGGTGCTAAATTTATTTCAGACTCTACCCACCTTTTCCTGGAGCATTTTCTGGGCCATCTGGAGCTTTCTCTCTAGAGCCTCCGTGCTCCTGGTGGTGTGGGAGCTCCTGCCCAGCTCCGACCGGAGCTCCCTTACTTGGATCTCTAACGGCTCCAGCTCAGAGAGCCTGGTACGCAGACCCTCATTCTAAAGAAAGAAGATGATGACATTGTATAAGCAGGCAGATTCAAGAAATTACTCTCATTCTTGAACAAATTGACTTAAATTCTGGACCTCACCGAAAACAATGACAATATTGGTAACCGGAACGATCAAACTGCTCCCCTCTTGTTAATATGTATGACATCATACATCGTTGTCTTTGTGGATCAGACCATAACGATTCACACTAAGCTTTCCTCAATGATTTCATCGCCTCTTTTGCTCATCAGCCATCAACTTTCTTAGGACAGACCTTATATCTGAGAGCCAATATACAGTGAAATCTATTTATAAAGACAGCTCGAGAGAGACTAGAAAAGTGGTCTTTATGCACAGGTTCCCTTAAGTTATGTTTCAATGGGAAACTTGGCTCAAGAGAGAAAAAAAAGAAGCAATCTATATGTCTATAAAGATTTTTTTGTCTCCTTTTTTTTTTACTTCTTTGATGTGCTGTCAATTTAGAAGAAATGATGCCAGCTACGTCCCTCATGATTTACTGATAGAACACCCAATGAATTTCTCATTGTATCTACAAGTACATATTTAGGCTTTGCACACATATACAGAAGAAGATGAATACCTCAGCTGTTAGTGTGGTAAGTTTAGAGGAGTTCTCCGAGAGCTGGAACTTGGTGGTGTCGTCTCTCTGGCCTTCTTCCACCAGTCTCATCCTCTCCTTAATCATCGTCAACTCATCTATCTTCAGCTGAAGAGCGTTCTCCTGCAAACAATGGACAGGATAGAGATCAATATAAGTCTATCAAAATTTTACATCAAGCACAAAAACATGAATTTGGGCAGTATTTATTGCATGGTGGCAGCGGTGGGATATGCAAGGGTAACAATCATCCATAAATATATATTTGAATAAGATTATGCTATTTCCAAATAATGACAACGATGACAACAATAAATTGTCGCCAAACCTCTCGCCTCCTGTTTATATGTAAGACATTGAAAATAGTGATTTATTTTATGGTGGCAGCAGTGGGATATGCAAGGGTAACAATCATCCATAAATATATTTGATTAAGATTATGCTATTTCCAAATAATGACAACGATGACAACAATAAATTGTCGCCAAACCTCTCGCCTCCTGTTTATATGTAAGACATTGGAAATAGTGATTTATTTTATGGCGGCAACAGTAGGATATGCAAGGGTAACAATCATCCATAATATATATTTGAATAAGATTATGCTATTTCCAAATCTTTGAAATGAGCCTATCATAACAATTGAGCACTAACAATTGAAAAGTATAAAGGGGACCAGGCAATCATAGACAAGGACAGAGATCTTAATATATCTATCATTACATTGAGTACAAAAATGTGACTATGCTACAAGCATGGGTAATTAACAATCATCCTTAAACTCTATTTATATAAGAAATAAAATCGCTCCTGAAGACCGTATTATAAAACAGGGTGAAAGAACAAAAATTGCACTATTTCAAGTCAATAAAATAATAACTTGTATATTGTTGGAAGACTAAATATTTTTATAACAAAAATGTACTACTGACTTTGTATAGCTATGACCTGTATATGGTTGATACATGTATGCAGACTGTGACCAATACCTTTGAAAACAGCTCAGTCTCTTTCTTGACAAGATCTGCCTTGGCTCGGCCCAGTGTTGCATCATGGGAATGGATGAGACGTTCTTTCTCTCTTAGCTGCTCCTGTGTGCGTTCCAACTGCAAGCAAGGAACAGTACATGTTACAGTACCACTACACTCCTCATAAGCCCAATCATTATCATAAGAAATAATATGACTACTATAATCCTGGATCTACATTAACATGTAATTAAGTCAACTATACTGTTGTCAGCTTCATTATCATCATAATATATTACTACCACCACAATCATCATCATTATTATCATCATCATCAATATCACCATCACCATCATTATCACCAACATTATCATCATCATCATCATATTATCAACATCATCATCATCATCATCATCATCATCATCATCATCATCATCATCATCATCATCACCACCACCATCATCATGGTTACTTTTTATACATTTTGCGTACATCAGTAATTTTCTTTGGAGCGGTGAAGGGCTGGGGTATCAGACTACTGTTCAGGTGCATGAATGATCCTACAAAACAATTAGAATATATATCTGCCTACCCCCTCCCTCCCTCCCTCCCCCTCTCTTTCTAAGTGCCTAACTAAACTCATTTAACCCTATCTAGCCTGGGGGGGGGGGGGGGGGGTTTGCGATAATTCTTTTAAAGCCAAAAAAATTTGCGCTGAAATTTTACAACTTCTTTCTTTCTTTCGAGTCTTGCGCATCTTTTGAAATAAATTTTTCGAAAAATTGGACCTACCATTACAAAGTCACATGACCTTTTGTCTATGCATGTTAGCCCGAAAATTGCTCATTTTCGTGATTTCAACGGCCGAAATCATAGGGGGGGGGGCCTTAGAAGCCCCCCCCCCAGAGTTATGCAGTTTCAAAATAGCCCGGGCTAGATAGGGTTAAAACAAGCAAACAATGTGCAGTACATGTATTCACAAAACATGTATACACTGCACAATAATAATTACTTACCGACAACCAAGTAAAAAAAACACACCATAGCCCAGAGCAAAAAAACAAAGCAAAAACATGTTAATGCCATCCAATTAATGATTTATATTAATGGCATTTGATTAAGTTTTAGTAGAGTACTTGACACTTGACACTTGTCCACTTTTGCATGTTAAAAACACCAGTTAAAATTATTAAACGCACAACACAAACACCATATGCCTACATGTATATTAAACTTCATGCATCACTACATGATTTTAAGCGTACATATATACAGTGTCATCTTCATAGAATGTTATGTATTGATAATGCATCATTTGATTATATCGCTATTACAAAATAATTTTTTTTTTTTTTTGGGGGGGGCGGGCATAACACATTTCAATGTTAAAATGACAGTCATCAGATATTTTTAGTGCAGGGGTGATCAGTTGATGACTTTCAATATCATTCTAAGAAAGAGATGACTTAATTGATGAAGCTTCTTAGTGTACAGTAAAATGGATCATAAATCAGTCCAAAAATGTGTTATTAAGAAGCACATACAGTTGTATAATGTAATTGAGTCATTGTGTCTCTTTTTGTTTATGTTTTTTTTAAACATATGTTTTTATACATACTGTGCAAATTTTTACACAAATTGTGTACAGAGGAACTAGTCATCAAGGTAAAGATGAAGAATTTACTATTTTACAACTGATACAATACCATGTGTGACAATATTCTTTCCCATGTTTGCAACTTATATGCATCATTTCCTTAACACACATGTAGCAAAACCATATGGCACAATATCTTTTATTTTTAGTCATGAATCATGATATCATCTTGTGCATAGTGATCAAAATCATGTACAACGTCAGCATCATAAAGTCTTTTTGAGCTGCTATGAATAATTCCTCCCAGTTTTATTAGGAGTGACTTTGATGTGTGCATCAGTGCAAAGCAATGACAATTAATGCAACAAAGGAAAAAGGTCATTGTTGACAAGGTGATTACAATATTAACAGAAGTTGGAGAGGGATTAGTGTTAGCAATCTGAAATTTATTTTCCGAATTTCATGCAAGTGAACACCATACTTCCATTTTGGTTTATGTTTATGAGTGACAAATTATTTTCTATTCTTTAATAAATAATATTTAAAAAATATGATTGCAAGCAAACCCATCATTAAGTTAATGCATGTATACACACAGATGCAGTGCTGCAAACTTTGATCAGATCATTTCAGTTTTATATTAGTTCAAAACTCAGTCTTCATTACAAACATACACATTTTTTCTTAGCAGTCAGATAAAACAAACCATCAAACCAAACCAAACCAAACCAAACCAAACCATATACATCTTTTATTTAGAAAATCAGTTAATACGTTTCTCTGATTCATGTGAAATTATTTTTTTTAAACAGTGTTTGGTATGAGACCTTGATTATTCTACTACACTGTCAGTATCAATGTGAAGGAAAAAAAAAATCAAAACCTCTGCAACGTGTACTTAGCAGCTCTTTGCTGTTCACACTACTGATATTTTTATCCGGAGAGCGCAAGGTTATACGGGTTAGTGCTTTAGTGCTTTGGGGTGAACATGAACACATCTGTAGTGGTGAAACACACATGCAGGGTGAGGGGGATGGGTGGGGGTAATTGATGTCTCCAAATTTGTTACCTTATCCTTCAAACGCCACATGGCCATCTCATCGGACTGACTGGTCTTTCCAGCCTGGGAAAGTGCTTCCAACTTTTGAAGTTGAAGGAGGATGAGGAGGAGGAGGAGGAAGGGAATGCGTGTATCGAAATGGAAACAATTGATGGTTATGGAATGTAGAGTAAACATGAATGGATGTTCATGTTCTTCATGTAATGGGGTTGACCTGACATGTATATGAAAGTGTTAAACTCTGCTTAAATCTATTCCTTATGATTCTTACGTGTTCATACCAAATGTTTAAAAAAAAAAAAATTTTGACGTTAGACAATTATTCTGCAAAACAATACGCTCCATTCCGAGTTTTTTGTCTCCAGCATTTAAAACAAAGCTACTGTTATTAGAATGAATTTTATGATACAAACATTTCCCACAGGTTAATTGCCCCAACATAACCTGAATTGCACATTTATGATTTAGCTTCCAGAATACAGATATGATTAACCTTCACACAGCTTCAAATCCCAAGAATGTGATGCGTTTACACTCTTTTTTTCTCATTACAAACGACCTGAGCACAAAGCATGGTTCAACAAACAATCAAAGAAAACTAGCCAACAAGCAAGCCATAACAAGATTCTGTAGAGAATAAACTGCCCATACCATTCACTGAAACTTTATGTTGATTTAATTTTAGATCACAATATTTGTATGCATTGCATTGCATATTTATAGATCTGTCTTCATTGGCAAATCACCTCCGATAGCATGTAATTAATTACTGCGCTTTTGAAAAACCTTTCAAATGTATTACCTTCAGATGTATCGTATTCTACAAAACAAAGATGGTCAGATTGAGATTCGCATAAGTACTTGTATATGTACAGTTAAATACCGTAAGTGGTGATAACAGCATATGTGTGTAATTCACTGAATAAGGCTTTGATATTGAAGTAAATTGATGAAGGAAGGATAAGATAATACATGTATATATATCAAGGGAAATGTAATGAAAAGTTACCCCCAACAATAAACTTTAAAAGCTGGTGTAAACATGTGTAAATGACTTCAAATAATTCCAAGTATGGGCTCAGCATGTCTAATTTCCTATATTGATTTTTTTTGATGAAGCATAAAGAAATGTACAATGATTACAACACATAAGTACACTTAGACATATACTTTAATATATTTTGATATTAGTTTCCTAGTACAACCCAATCCATTAACACACATGTATACAAATTAAATATGATGTAAATGTATGTGTACAATACTACTTTTCAAAAAAGTACACAGTATCTATATGATTATTGTAAAATTTAAAACACAGTAAAAATACATATAAAGTTGTGATAATAACTCTGTAATTACCTGTGATTTCAGTCGAACAACTTCCATCTCTCGCTCCTTGATTTCCGTTTTCAAACGTGTCACTTGGCGCTCTTTCTCTTCTAATTCTAAATCACGACTCTGAATCTGTAAGAAAGTTGATTAGGAATATGATTGAATAAAACTTATTGAATATGAATCACCATATTCAACATACTCAAATATTGCAACCTGATTGGTCGAGATGAGGTCATATGTCAATTGTTATTCAGACAGCCATAGGCATAAATAAAAACTATCCTAATAGTTTTACTTCACTCTTCATATAGACATACACACCAAGAACCAATGGTGAAGGTTTAGCCCCTGCTGCCACTACAGCTAGCAATTGCTTGTTTTATATCACAAATCAACATAATACTTTTAATACATTTAATCAGACTTATTCAGCCCAATGTTCTGGACTAGTTTCTGGAAATGCAGGCACTCGATCAAGAGCAAATCCCACCGCTGCCACCATCTAAGAAAGACTGACAGACAATAGCAGTAATTTTTACTTTATTACTTGATTGTAGCTAAAATAGGCTGTTCTCACTGAATCATGCCCTAAAGAGGGCAACAAACAACAATCAATAAACATCCTGACAATCTACATTCAAATATGTATCGACAATTTTTACCCAATTTTATCTTTTCAACCTTTACCAACAATTTGCATTTCAACACTTTTCACAGACAATTCATACATAATGGGCTAGAAAGAATTATGTAGAACAGCCAGGCTCCTTTCAGCTTCCTTTCTTGTTCTAAATATGCATTACCTATAAGAAAAGTCACAAATGTCTCTTACCTTTTGTTGCAGCTCCCTGGCATCACTGGCCCCTTGTACTTGTCTCTTCATCTGTTCTCTATCAACCTTTAACTGTCTCAATTCATCCTCAAGAACCTAAATCAGAATGTCACAGCAGTGATGGAAACAGATGATGTAAAACATAAATGAGAACTTACAGGGCTCCACACAGGACACCCTAACCCTATGCTTTTGAAGGAACAAAGCCCGAAGCAATTGTTAATGGAGCCAATTTCAGATCAACTGCAACCTACAATTATTTGATCACTACACTATGATCATCAGTATAAATTGAAAACTGAGATTGTATTATGTATGTAAAAAATCGACTAGGTAAGAGAACCTACTTAACAGGAATCAACTCATTTCTTCCTTTGTCTCTGCATGTTTTTTGTTTTTGGTCAACTTTGCCTGGGAATTAAAAATGGGTAAATAAATAAATAAATTGTACATTTAGGTACATGCACGGTGCTATCATATAGAGTATTTCCGCTCTTCTTACCTGGTTAGCTCTTGATAGATGCTCCACCTTCTCCTTCATCTGTCCATACTCCTCGTGCTCCTTCTCCTTCTCCGCATTCTGCCAATCCACCATCTTCTTCAGCCAGAGAGGCGTGCCCGGCTTGGGGGCCACAGGAGGTCCTGCGCTGCCCGGAACACTAGGCAGGCACAGCTGAGGGGGACCGGTGAAAACGTCTTGAGAGGTGGAGGTTTCAATTTCCGGTTCCTGCGTTTCCATACCGCTGTCAAGAGAGGGAGCCCTAGTATGACAGGAAGAAGCCCATGTAAAATATATAGATAAAGAGTAGGAAAATAAGAATTGTCCTTTAATTTTATATGAATTAATTTAAATTAAAGCACATGGATATATTGAGATACATGTAGTTTCTTTTATGACTGAACAGCCAAAAGAAGATTAAACTGAGGTATTAACATGTAGATGTGCATGTAATAATGGCAATGGTCTGTTTGTTTGGTTGGGTCAATGCATGTTTTCTCTATAGACATAATCAGCTAATAATAACATTTTAGTTTCAAGCTGATGATTATTCAGAAAGATATTGTATTTTTGATAAATCGCCAAATAGAAATGAGGTGTCAATTCAAACACTGGTTGGGCACATTTGCTACCGGCTTGGTTTCATCAAAATATAGGGTAAGGTCTAGGGCTGTGACTGAGTTTTACATGTAGATTCGGTTTAGGGTTAAGTTTAAAGGTTAAGTACATGCATGAGTGTTCAGTTCAGGGTCAAAGGTTATGAATTCAGTTAAATGAATGTAGATTGATTATCACTACAGAATGTGACATGCAACCATTAAAATAGCTGCTCCCTATCTAACTTCCTTGTAAAACTTCTTAACCATATCATACCTAAGATGAGAGGTCTGCTCTGCACCCTCGTCAACCCCGCCCATGTGCTTGGGTGGAGGCGGCAGGGATGGGAGAGGGGGAGCGGGTGGGGCAAGGTCAGAGATGTCCGAAGACGTGGAGTTGGTGCGTCCGTGGAATGGCTTGAGTTGACCTGGTGGTGAGGTGTCTGGGAGGGGTGGACCATCCGATGACAAGGACACGTCAAGGTCATCGCTCACCGATGAACCGACTCGTAACCTGTCAATCTCATCCACTGAAAGCAAAAGCAAGAACAAATTAATGAACCAATACAATAAGAGTAAGGGGAAACCTGGTGTAGTGGTCCACCTGGACACCCCCAATCAGTTATACCGGGAGGAGAGACCCAAGGGTTACAGTGATTCAGTTCGCTTTTGACCTCCCAGGCACAGGTGACGTTAATTTTTTAACTGTCAGTAATACATTTAGAACAGTGAACAGTGAATCACTTGATCAATATCAGAAAAGTCAACTAACAGGTTGGAAACCTTAAGAGTGTATTCTCCCACAGACCAAACATGACATCCTGATAGAGGCCTCTGCATCAATCAATTTCAAATAACGAGACTAAGAAGCAATTGCCCAACAACAATCTCTGCATCTGACTAAAAGAGAAGCCACATATATTTCTTTTTAACCCATTGGGTACATTTGATTTTGGTATGAAGCACATGTTTTGATAGTTTCAGCCTAAATCATCTCGGGCATAGTAAAACAAGTTAAAAACATCTCTCTCACCTTCCAAACCCAACCCATCAAAGTCAAATCCATCGTCCCCCATGGGTCTCATCGCCATGGTGACATGTCCCGCCTCCACCTCCTCCCCTATGGCCTGCTCTCTGATTGGCTGCCTGTGCATGAAGGATGGTGCTGATTGGTCCAAATGGATCAAGTCCTGGTCCGTTTGAATCAGAGGTCCGTAGACCTTGATGGGGATAGGGGAGGCGTGATCGGAGCTCTGGCGTGGTAGCGCGTTCAGGAAATCTTCAAGGGTTAGTTCATCGTCATCTGTGTGTGAGTAAATTAAGTTTGAACAGAGAAAGGCACATTGAAAACCTCATGTATCATTCAAGTTCTGCAGGGAATTAATTTTGATTGTCCTCTTTGTAATTCTCCTTTCAGGAGCGTGTGACCAGCAGTCAACAATTATCCGTGGATTGTTTGCAATATATACTAAAAAAATGGACCTCAAAGAAAAAGATATTGGAAAGTATAATGCTTGCAAGCGTCAACAATTAACCTCATTAACAATATAGGAAACACTTTGTACTTTGATATTAAGTTTTTAAAAAGAAGATGTTCTAAGGCACCTTTTTTTCAATGTGAGTACTCCATGATGCATATTTGTAAATAAGCTGGCCTTGTAAGAAATCATGAAAGACAAAAACCAAGACTAAAAACAGCCATCAACTTGCAATATTCAATCACATTTCAGTGTCCATGATGAATACTGAGAATTGAACATTTGTATCAGAGTATATTCAACATAAATTCATGTATATATCAGGTTTGCAAATACAATGACGCATCTGTTTTAACTGATATTTTGTATTTAGGTATACAAAAGGACAAGAGAAGATTTTGCTTACCTGCAAGCATTTTTGTTTGGAGAGCACCTTTAGTCAAAAGCTTCAAAGGAATAGTCTGGGTTGATTTTGCTTCCACATCCCCTCCTCCAGACACATTCTGTACAGAGAGAGAGACAGTAAGATTTACGTGGTGAGTTTAAGCAAGACTATAGGGCCACATCTTACAAAGAGTTGATATCAATCGCAACTATGTACATACGAGATAGGAGGGTCAGACTGTAAATTTGCGATTGATTGGAGGAATTGGGATTGATTTGGATCAATCATAACTCTTTGTAAGACGGGATCTGGTATGTAAAATGATTAAGATGTACGTGTACAGTGTAAACGTAGCCACAGGGGATCATGTGCCACTAAAATTAAAAAGTAGTGAGTAAAATATGAAAAAATAAGGAAAGTCAAAGAGAGGGGAAAACGAAGGTGAAAATGGAAAGTAATGCTTTTATTCACGCCCCATTCACCATTGATCTTGTTTTTTTTATTCATGTTTCTTCCACCTAAAAGACTGGTGCCCCCCTAGCCCCCTCTCCATGATGGCAGTGGCCCTTCAATGGCTAGGTCCATGCTCAGTCACTGACTGACTATGCATGGGAGAGAATCCAAGGTCTTTGGCATCATTCAAAGGTGGATTTATTTACAAGATATCATCCACATTTAAGATATTAATATAATAACACTTTGCCCAAACCAATTTCATGTCATAACTGGAACAGTAAATGTAGCTTGTATACATATACAGTTCCACCAACTTAAAACTCTGATTATTACACAAGAAGAAAATGAGTAAAAGTCACTACCACTTGCATTCAATGAGCTAATTCTTAATTGAAGTATGCTTGTATATCTCATTTACATAAAAGTCAGAACTTGACTATGATTTGGACAACGTACACCAAAAACAAACACAATTAAAATCTTGAAAGACAAACAAGTCAATATTGATTTCCTACTATAATGTAACAGCTGTGGCACGCACCATCAAATATTGAAACCCAGAGAGCCTTTGTTTGACTAAACCCCAATCAAAGTCTTCTCAATCATTGATTATTTTTCCACATACTTTAATAGCTGTAACACCTTGGATTCAGGACCTGTGAGTGCTTATATCTATACGTAGTTTCAGTAAACATCTAACTACACTTCATAAAAATATTGGAAAAGATAATTATGCAAATATTATTTCTACTTGTGTGTGTATCAAAGTTATGCTGGAGAACAAATGTTTGAAAACAAAGGATTTTGGATTTCTACAAGTGTTTGTACATTGTAAATCCCTGTCTGTGTTTGATTTGAAATCAATATACTTCATCATCCTTACACTGATGTCATCTCAGTATATCCATTTCAAAGGCAACTCTGAAAGCAAGGTACATGTATGCCTTCTATCAAATAAAATTAACTCTAGTGCATCAGAAGTATCATAATGTTGGTCTATATACAAACAGCAATGCTTTTCCTACAACAGACATTAACCAATAGCATACTACCACATGTACATGTATATGTGCCAAATTTAGAGCATAGACAGCAATCATTTTAATAGACAGGTGTCCAATATGCGTCTTCTCAGTTGGTAGTGTACTAGATCTGTACAATAGATATGATGGATCAATCTAATTTCTAAGGTCTTTTCCACATTCACGCTCTATCCTGTTTACTACATTTAGTAACAGCTACATGTACACTTCATATCAAGACCTGTAGATTTACAATTATGTACAAAATATGTCAGATCACATTCTACAGTACACAACAGGCCATTTTTGTAATGTAATCAAATGTTAATGCTCATGATCCTTATTAAATGCCTCGTTACAAATAATTTAATTCACCATTTACAAATAACTGTATTTTAAGAGTCAGAATGTGAATTGTATACATTATGTGTTATTAAGTTAGATAAGCCATTATGTTTGTCCCACCTAGCAGCAATTAAATTATGCGATTTGCATTTTGACTATTGAAATAGAATTACTCATAACATGAGAATTAAATAATTTGTAACATGTCATTAAAGGTTTATGCATTAAATTTGATTATGTCACAAAAATGGTCTATGAAGACATGTGCACATGTGTACGATACAGGTAAGACACACCATATTTTGCAACATGAAATTAAATACATACTCAAGTCATTTATCTGGAAAATATGTAATCAATAATGGATTTTCCTATGAATAAACATCTAATGCTGATGTGAATTTACCACTCACTCCAAGATATGACAAATATTATATTATCTGATCAATATACGTACATCTGTGTATTGCAATACCCCATACAAATTTGAACATCTACTATGTATCTATGTGAGAAGTATTCTTTCCACTCACCACAGGCCATCAACAGAGAATTCATGAGCACAGCACTGCTTAGTTACAATACACCTACTTGTAGCCTTGTACGACAATGCACTAATGATGAATTTGCAGCTATTGTGGACTAAAATACAGGCAATAAAACTACCCCATAATGCATGTATGAAGCGCAAGTCGACTAGGCATTAGTCATAATTAATTAGTTCATCCCCTTGACGTTGTATTGAGAGCAAATATACACACGGCTCATCATCCACCCGCATTCAGTATTGATCACCTGATTAAATACAAGAATTTCAATTCGAGGGGTCAGTGACACAAAGACGTAACTCCCTTTGTCCATTTTGAGAAAAAGTGGTTTATGTGTCACTGAGCACTTGGGCCTTAAGGAGTCTATGTTTCACTAGCCATTGACTTCAATGGGGTGTTGGATGGAGATAAGTCTTTGTGTTTCCTGGAAAGCCCACATTTCTCTGAACATTTTGATATCAAATACTCATTTTGGCAAAATATGGAGTTACGTCTTTGTGTCACTGAACCCTCTAATTGATTGGAGAGGCTTCAGACATGCAGCTGACATTAAGTGGCTGGAAAATATCTAGGTTGATTTATCATCTTGTTGACTTACACTACACTAAATATTGGCTATTTATTCTGCGTTCATACAAGACACTTGAATTGAAGAGACAAAACTTAATTGTATAGTCCAATTTTGAAAGTGAGTGTGCAGGAATGCTATATCAATATTAATATATCCTTTTTCATTTATACCTATATTTATCAATGTTTACATAAGCAAAATAGCATCAAGTCAAAAATATTAGAGGAATATTGTTGTCAGATATTTTAACTACCGGTACATGATTTTCACTGTATATTATGATGGTTTGATAACCCTGTAAATACATGATCCAAAGAGATATATCAAAACTACTATTGATGTAACCAAGTTTATGAAGTTTCATTTTACTTTGGGAACAAATCATTAATGAAGTAATATAAACCAAAACACCTTATTTTTGGTGTGTGGTAATCAGAAAGTTAATTTCAACATTCTTGTTTATGGCAATTAAACTCTAACATTTTAGGACAAAGAGTACCGGTAATGTGTATTTATAATGTGTACACGAAGATACTATTTATCAATATTATTATTTTAAAAATGTAGTGGAGAAGACATGATGAATGATGGATAGAGCTTACAACATGTATATAGAAGATGTCAATGAGCTGTGTAACAGACAAAATGAAAGATAATTGAACACCCCTTCACTTCACAATCAGCAGACAACACATCAGTAATACCCCCATCCTACTAGAGGACGATTCTGCTGTGATCACCCCCCCCCCCCCCCCCCCCCGAAATCGACAAAGAGTGAAAGCATGGCGATATGATCTTTTAAATCTTGTCCTATGATCTTAAGCTTTTTTGAAGCATCTAGGATTGCCACCATCTCTCTGGTCTCAAATTGTGAACATGTTAAAAACTTACGTAGCGAGAGCATTGAGGTGCCAAAGCGCATCGCAACCGGTTTTAGAGCGTATTAAAACAACAAATTATATTTCTAATGTGACAGCAGCCCCCAAAGTGTATCAAAAGCTGCTCACATCCCCCATGTTTCTGTAATGTAATTGCTTCACTGGCCAAAAACGGGGTTGGAGGGAGATTCAGCTATGCTTAAAAAAATTTGACAGATCGTTATATGGTCACATGATCACCTTTCTAGTGAGATGGGGGTATATTAAAGCGCATCAAAAATACAACACCATTTACATTACCTGGGACAGAGTGCCACTGCTAGGACCTGCCTTCGTCTGGAGATCTCGAATGCTCTGCTTCAGCTTCACATTCTCTTTTACAGACTGGTTATATAACTCCTGAACCTCTCTCAATTCCTATCAAAGCATTAAATGAATGATGTTGAATGAGTGAGATACTACAGAGAAATGGTATGAGTACAGTAACAATTAAAAAAAAAACTTCTCATGGATTGATGGCCTATAATACTACTAAATGTATCATGATGATTTTAGGCAAGATGATGGGATCATAGCTGCTATAATTTTAAAAGAGTTAACCCATTCTTGACTGTTTCCTTCAAGAAAATGAGTTTTCCAACTAAATGCACACAAAATGAAAAACTTACAGCCTTGCTTGTAATATACTTATTCAGATGGCTAATATTTTTCACTAAAAATGGAATATAACCATTATAGCATATTAACTTAACCCAATGCAGAACAACTAATGCTTTAGTGATGCATGAAATAATGATAAACAAGCATGTGACAGATGTCAAGGAGCTAAGATGAGCCATGTGATGCAAATGTTTTTTGAAGTTGAAATGATTTACTACAAATGCATTTAATGAACATACATTTAAAAACTAAATTATTCATACCCCTTGTAAATTTGATGTTTTTTGTATATTTCATAACTCAAGAATAACATTTGGACTTGTTGAATTAGGGCCTTTGTTGAATACTTTTAGATGTAAGCTTTAATATGTCACATTCTCAAGAAACATAAATCAGACAAATCAATTTTTCAAATTTCTCATAAATTACAAAACTTAGGAAGGGTATGAATACTTTAGTTGTTACTTGTACGTGCAAAAAATGAATTATGAACTTTGAGAGAATAATTCTTTTTCTCACCTTATTCTTCTGATCTAGCCTCATCCATACTTCTCCAGCTGCTTCTCCTCCTGCTCCACCCTCTCTGGCTCCAGGTGTATCTCCATCGGCCAAGGAGGCCAGCATGGCCTGGGCTTTCAGCTCCTGGTACTCACCCACCGATAGACTCACCTTCACGAAAATAAAAACATCATCAAATCCATAGCAATACATCCCAGGGAAACACAATAACTAAACAAGTGTAACATATTATTACGGTCAAACCTGTCTACAAAGACCACTTGTTGTGTTTCCCTTTGGTGGTCGCTATAGACAAGTTTGACTTTGACTTTTGTAACTAATCTTCCTATTCTTTTTTGTTTAATAGGAAAGCAACTAAAAAAACGAATGTCTGATGAAGCATGTATTTTAATTGGCAGGCATTCAATATTTTTGTATTCCTAGTTGTCATGACATTTTCTTTACGCCATCTTTCTGTAAACAATTGTACGTATTGACATCCCTGGATACTTGATCTTCAAGGTTATCTTGTAATTAATGTTCAGTATGTACAAGAAATTGATATATATGTCAATAAAATACAAGATAAAAATAATGCTCGATAATATTCAATGTGTTTTTTACCATGCCATGACTTCTGAGATTCTGCTCCAGTTGTTGCAGTTTTTCCTCCAACTTGACATTTGACCTCTCGTAGTCGTCTGCCCTCTGTTGGGCCGCTTGCAGCTCCCTTTGCAGCGAGTCATAGTCCCCTTCCAGCTGGTTAGTCCTGGACACCTGCAAACGACGACGATTCAAAATAGCCGTCAACTCCTTGTCTTGCTGGAACATCTTTCATTCAAAGGCTAAAATTTCCCTGCCCAAATGGTCTGATCTATTCAGTAATGTTGCAGATTTGACTCCAGTTCAATAAAACACCCAATGTTCTACTCGGACATGGGTACAATGGATGTCGATTTTGAAAGACACACTATGCTGCACTAACCCAAGCTTGTCCATGGTGTTACAAGTTGTCCTTTTCATCATTCATATATGCAATCACGATTACGTTTATCCTTTATAATATTAAAACGGTCTTTAAAAGAATATACGTTTTTATACTATATATGAGTATAGCCTACATGTATTACACAGCTATCCTGAGGCTAAACGACCAGAGACTGCAATCCTAACGAAAGCCACACAGTACAGAAAATCAGCAAAATTGTGTTTCAGAAGTGATAGGCGATATATACATGTACAAGGCTACTAGCAAATGCATATATGAAAGTGCCAATGGATTTTAAATTCATTCATTTTAAGGCAAAAGGGCCTAATGCTTGTATATAGCCTGTGCATTCAAGGTCCTTATAGCTCTCACCATTATAGAACCAGACGCTGCCCTTTTGATAAGCATGGGAACAATAAAGCAAACCACCTGCTACCTCCGGGAGGCGAGAGGAGACATTTTTCTCTTCTTCCTCGTATGCTCTTTCTATTCACACATCTACAATTTTACAAAGATGTTAACTTGTAATTTCATTTCATTGGAGATGTGTACAAGCGCAGTAGGGTGTACATGTATATTCATAATGTGATGTATCAATTTCTGATGAGATAATGATGTTAGAATACATTGTTGCAGTAAACAACTCCTTATTTTTTCATTATTAGTCCGTGGGCCAGAGGGGGCTACCGTGCACCCCCCCTATGATCCTACTTCTTGGGTGTCATTTTGTTAATTGGGATCCATAATATCAGAAAAAAGATGTTCCCAAGAAAAAAACTCATTTGGACACTGTTTTTTTGCTCCTTATTTGAAGATATGTAAAAATGTCAGTTTTTCGTGTTTTGCACACTTTCTTAGGGTTTGTGAATTATGTGCTTACATTTTACCCTGTTTCTCAGCAGATATAACTCTAATCTCCACCAAATTTATAAAAGATCTTCGTAAACAATACAACAATAGGTAGACAAAATTATTTTATTTTATTTTATTGTCTTCAATTGTTAATGACGTCATAAATTTGCATATATTTTGATATGCAAATTTCTTTCTCAAAACCTTTCAAAATCACCTAAAAGTTGTATTTTGTCTGCTATTATCATAAAATAAGTTTTCAAACCCCCTAATCTGGTGTAAAATTATTCATTGATAAGTTATCTGATGTTTTCTGCAAAACAAAATTCAGTCAACTCTTGTTGACATTGTTTTTTACCATTATTTGTTATGTAAACATATCAGTTTTCCGTGTATTGTACATTTTCTTAGGGTTTGTGAATTATGTGCTTACATTTTACCCTGTTTCTCAGCAGATATAAGTCAAACCTCCATCAAATTAATAAAATCTTTGTAAATAATGCAACAATAGATAGACAAAACTATTTTAATTCATTTTATTGTCTGCAATTGTTAATGACGTCATGAATTTGCATATATTTAATATGCAAATTTCTGTCTCAAAACCTGTCAAAATCACCTTGTGGTTAAGAACTTGAATAAGTTGTTTCTTATTCTCATCATTCGCTAGGAACTGCTTCCAGTCAGATGGTCTTTTGGTCTTGCCTCCTTTAATCATCATCTTCTCTGCACACCCACGCCGTGTCCGTTCACTTGACTTCCCAGAGTCTGGCTTGTACATGTCTGTGCTGAAAATGACATCGCATTTTGGACAACACTCCATTGTGAATTTTGATGCAAATATCGTGGAAGTATGCAGGCATCTCTTTTAGGTAGTAGAAAACCATTTTCCACTCCCAACTAATTGCCAGTGGTTGGAGGTTGTGAGTTCTCTACATCCTTCCGGAGATAGTGTAGGCCCTTAAATGTATCTGTCTTAGCAAAGAAGTTGTTCCAACATTCCAATTGAGTAGAGATCAGGGATCAAAGAATTCCCGTAGATCAAGTTGGCTTTTTCTCTAATCGCTCTTTGATGAACATCTCTTTCTGGTCTTTCCCTGTGGTAATTGCATGCATGACATCTTTCTCAACCTCAGCTGGAACGCGGGCACCGGAAGAGAAAACATACAATCCATTCTTGTCATCAACATCAACTTGATTGAGGAAGCTTTTTACATCATCTATGGCCTTTTTTTTAATACACATTCCTCACTTTTCCTTATCCGAGTTGGTTGTTGATCTCTGTGTTTATTTCCACGGTGAGCATCAAACGTCATATCTGCATATATTTGATCCCACCTCTGATATACACTGTAGTTCTCAATTATGCCAGAGAGACCGACACCACTACCAACCCCACTGCGAGATTTGCCATGCTTCAAGATTATCTCCTCAATTGTCTTGTCGACAGCACATCGGTTCCCTGGAATGAGCGACCTGGCAACACTTATTGCAACTCTTTCGAGCAATGTCATGGCACCATGATGTGAATCTTTAATGTTTACCAAGAATACATCAAGGTAGGTCACATATTGGGAGTAATTGTGACCAGGTCAGGCATAAGGAACAGGCAGTGCAAGTACAATGGTCAGTACTGTTATTTTCTTTCACAGACCTGATCAATGAAAGATCAATCCTAACGCAATCAACATACGACATCAAAATTTGTGCCGTCTTCCAAAGAGATCCTCTTCGAACATCAGCTTTGAAGCTCTCATATTACTCTATCAACGCCTTCAGATCTGCATTAGCCACAACCTCAGCAAGCCTCTCCTTTGTTGGTGATCGAATTAGCTCTTGGAAGATATTCTTTGATTCCTCAGCTATACCAACAAATGCATCATCTTTTCCAGTCATTGACAGGAACTCATAAAAAGGAGCCTTTCTAAGCACTCCACCATTGTCTTGTGACAATGCAGACTCCTGTCGCAGTTCTTTCCTGTTATGACGTCTTTCATAGACCCAGAAGACATGAGACCAGCTTCCAAGAGGATATCTTCAAGTCCGGATCCTTCCATTTTCTTTCCCAGCATTTTGGGGTATGCACAAATCAAATGGAAAGTGCCAATCAACACAATGTGTTTCTTGTAAGTTTATGGATGACTCCAAATGAGAGGATATGCCTACAGGCACACGCCTAAGTCAAATGTTGTTATGACATGGCCAACCTCGTGGCTTGCTTCTTCTGCAGCTCTTAGGCACTCTTGGATTGTATCGAATTCTGTTATGGGATATTTTCTTACAGGATAGTAATCTATGGTCGTCACATTTGAGGACACCTCCCATGTTACTGAAACAAATCCAGCCCCAATCTGAAAGCTCTTGACCTGTCTCTCCACTACTTTTTCGGACAAGCATCTACAATATCATTTCTGGCACATTCTTTGAATGCTTTATATCTGTTGACATAGCAAGGTGGAAGAGGACCTTCATTTTCATTAGCCAAGGAACTTTCTTTGGTTCATGTACGTGCTACTGAGGGTACTGTGCTATTTGAAGATTCAACTGTCTCATTGTTAGAAATCTCCAGCAGCATAATCCCATGGGCTGTGTGGGCAGAGCCAGAACCACCTAAGCTTGAAATGTATTTGTTTAAATCGTCAACGTCTGAATGGAAGACTGATGGCTCCACGTGATGGCGGACTACCTGTCTACTCTAGATAGAATACCGAAAGTCTACTGTAGCGCTTGTGCTATGGCAGATTCAAGCTCAAGTGAAAATGAATAGCTTTCTGAATGAACAAGCCGATTCAGGAATGTGATCAATTGAGCACTGCGTAAGAGATGTCTCAGAGTCATCCATACCAGTATATGCTTGGACATTTTCCACTTTCCATTTGTGGCTGCCCTAGATATATCTTGTCCTAGAGATATGACAAGTTTAGTCACTCTTTGTGACGGTCGAGATGGATTTCCACTCAACAAATGGTTCAGAAACTTCTCTAGCTCAGTGGGAATCTGGTCAACTGTGGGCTATTTCCGTTGTTCTCTGTTTAGCTACTTCATCGTATTTGCCACTTCTCCATTAATCCGGCTTTTAGTTCGCCACATATTTCTACCGACAGTTCTTGTGATTTCTTGCTTCTGCAGCAAACAGATCAACTTCCAGGATTCTCAAAAGTAGGTCTTCATCACCCCCTGTCTTTGCAACATCTACAACATTTTGCCACCCACCAAAATCTAACATTGGTGTACTTTCTGTTGTCCAAGAGCTTTTCACTTTGATTGATTTTGGGCCTTCCTTTTTACAAGAGATACAATCAGGATTGGGGATGACTTCATCAATTGACGATCTGGGTGGACGGGATGTTGAAGGTTCTGTGGCATCAGATAAGATCTCTGACAGTCGATTGAGGTTCTTTGTAAAAAGTTGGTAGCACTCCCGATGATAACCGTGCACATCTGAAATGTCTTCAAGAATGAGGATGCATGCTTCTTATATTGCTCATTGTGTCAAGTCAGTTGAAATTCGTGAAATTGTACCCCGTTTGTTCATACATTTGTATAAACAACAAAACTATATTATAGCATATAATGGGATTAATGACCAACTGCTGAATAAGTTTGCTTTGTCTGATCCCCCCTCTTCAGGCTGATACTATAACAGGAAACAATGATGTATGTGGTAAATTACTGTATTTAATTTAGTTTGATGTTAACAGGCTAGCCCCAATAGTAATTGAAATACTGCTTGTTGAGCTTTTGTTTTTTTAAACAGGAACTTTAATTGAATTATATATACAGAATGTATTAATCGTAATATGCGGGGAGAGTGGGGGGGGGGGGGGGGGGGGGGATACGAGTTGACTGATACTGAACAAAATTTGCGGGAAACATCAGATAAAATAGCAATGAATAATATTACACCAAATTAGGGGGGGGGGGGGTTAAAACTTATTTCATGATAATAGCAGACAAAATACAACTTTTAGGTGATTTTGACAGGTTTTGAGACAGAAATTTTAATATATGCAAATTTATGACGTCATTAATAAAAGACAATAAAATAAATTAAAATAGTTTTGTCGTCCTGTTGTATGATTTACAAAGATTGTTTATTAATTTGATGGAGGTTAGACATATATCTGCTGAGAAACGGTAAAATGTAAGCACATAATTCAAAAACCCTAAGAAAATGTACAATACACGGAAAACTGATATGTTTACATAACAAATAATGGTAAAAAACAATGTCTACATGAGTTGACTGAATTTTTTTTGCAGGAAACATCAGATAACATATCAATGAATAATTTTACACCAAATTAGGGGGTTTGAAAACTTATTTTATGATAATAGCAGACAAAATACAACTTTCAGGCGATTTTGACAGGTTTTGAGGCAGAAATTTGCATATCAAAATATATGCAAATTTATGACGTCATTAACAATTGAAGACAATAAAATAAAATATAATAATTTCGTCAACCTATTATTGTATAGTTTACAAAGATCGTTTATCAATTTGGTAGAGGTTTGACTAATATCTGCTGAGAAACAGGGTAAAATGTGAGCACATAATTCACAAACCCTAAGAAAATGTAAAATACACGGAAAACTGATATGTTTACATAACAAATAATGGTAAAAAACAATGTCTACATGAGTTGACTGAATTTTTTTTGCAGGAAACATCAGATAACATATCAATGAATAATTTTACACCACATTAGGGGGTTTGAAAACTTATTTCATGATAACAGCAGACAAAATACAACCTTTTAGGTGATTTTGACAGGTTTTGAGGCAGAAATTTGCATATCAAAATATATGCAAATTTATGACGTCATTAACAATTGAAGACAATAAAATAAAATAAAATAAGTTTGTCTACCTATTTTTGTATTGTTTACGAAGATCTTTTATAAATTTGGTGGAGATTAGAGTTATATCTGCTGAGAAACAGGGTAAAATGTAAGCACATAATTCACAAACCCTAAGAAAGTGTGCAAAACACGAAAAACTGACATTTTTACATATCTTCAAATAAGGAGCAAAAAACAGTGTCCAAATGAGTTTTTTTCTTGGGAACATCTTTTTTCTGATATTATGGATCCCAATGAACAAAATGACACCCAAGAAGTAGGATCATAGGGGGGGTGCACGGTAGCCCCCTCTGGCCCACGGACTATATCTTATATGAGAGTTTTGTCAATTTCGTTCCCTAAGAAGCCAAAGGTGCATTTTATATCATGTTGTCATCATAGAAAACATTTGATAAATGTAAAACTTAATTTCTTTATTGAATAGAAAATATTAATGTGGGTAAATCTAACATACTGCGCTACTTTAATACATTAACGATGCTTTGTAAAATATAACACAGTACTTGAAATATCAAGATGCATAAAATAAATGCAGCTTAATTGGGAGTATGTGAACTAATCTGTTTCGACCATAACATATTAAAAATCTACTTATCATACATGGTTTATGTTATCAGCACAGAGGGAACAGAGCATACAGAGTAAAGACATAACTGCAAATATAATGTTCCTACCTTTTGCTTGAGAGTGGAAACAGAACCCTCCAAGTCCTTGAGCTGGTCTTTGAGTTTTGCTTCCCTCATCTCAGAGTTCTTCAGCTGCAGTCTGAGGTTGCTTTCTCCAATCTCCATCTCGGATAACCTGTTCTGCGTCTGCTGGTCCTGGCTCTTCTTGTCTTCCACTTTCTCCGACAGTATTTCATTCTCGTGATTGAGCTGGCCATTGTCCAGTTTCAAGAGCTTCACCTCCTCCTCCAGCTTCCGGCTCTGCCTCTTGGTGTCCAGGATGGCATCCTCCATCTCCTGCGACTCCTGTTTCCATTTCTCATCCGATCTCTCCAACTGCTTTACCTTCTGCTCCAGGTCCAGCTTGGTGGTTTCCATCTGCTTCAGGTTGTTTTTCAGTGTTGACTCGGACATCAGCATGTCCTTGAACTTACTCTCCAGGACCTTGTTGGATGCCTTTGCCCTCTCCTGGCCTTGGTCACTCTCCTGGACACGGGACGTCAGCATCTCAATGCTGTCCTCAAGAGCCTTCACTGTCCTTTCAAGCTGTTCTTTTGACTGCCCAAGTTTTTCCTGAGACTTTTCACTAGCCAGAAGATCTTCAGTAACTTTGCTCTCTGACTTCTCAAGTTCTTCCACATGAGCTTTAAGAATATCCACCTCATCCTGTAGGTGCTCATTTGTTTTTGTTACCTGCTTTATCTTATCGTTCAGGAGCTGAACATTTGCCTCATACTCCTGATTTTCAGTAATGACACAGGAGTGTTTTTCCTTGAGATGTTTCAGCTCATCAAGTTCATTCTCGTTGACATCAGCCTTTTCTGATTTTCTTGTCTTTTCTTTCGACGCCTTTGATCTGAAATCATCAAGATCATCCTTAAGCCCTTGAATCTCCTTGACCTGTTCCTCACTTATCTCCGTCATGGTTTCTTCACTGAGCTTGGTATCTCTCAATTCTTCTTTTAACTCTTCCTGCAAAGACTCCAGTTCAATTATTCTCTCTCTAAGCATCCTGACATCCTCGTCAGGGGATTTGGATAAATGTTCTTGACCATGTCTATCAGTTTCACTTGGATCTTTTTCCTCCAGGAACTGTTTAAATTGATCTACAAATGGCTCGAAAGCATCTACTTTGGCTTTCAAAGATTGAATTTCTAGTGCCATCTCATTTTTATCCTGCTGTGCTTGACTAAGCTTTGCTTGCAAGTCTTGATCAGGTGAACTTTGAGTTTGTATTACGTTCGTATCGAGGCTTTCTTCTTTTTCCTGCAAGGCAGATAGAAGTTCAGAATTTTGCTTTTCAAGTTCATCAACTGTAACCATCAAATCTGCTATTTTCTCCTGACTCTGGGTCAGAGTGTCATCGCTAGCAACTCTCTTGAGTTTTGGTGGGATCTTGTGAGATCGAGCTGAACTTCTTCTCCTAGCATTCCCTGCTTTTCCACTCTCTTCAGCAAAATCTTCCTCAATATCATCAAAGTCATGTTCAGTCTCGCTGTCTTCGTCAATGCAATCAAATATGCTAAACTCCTCTTCACTTTTAGTTAAACCAACACTGGACTTTCTGCTTGCCTGTCCTTGGTTTTTAGCTTCTTCCAGCATTTGTTTCAAATCATTATTGGAGCTCTGGAGTTCATCTATCTCTTCCTTGAACTCATTCTCCCTGTCTGCCATGATAGTGTCTGCGGAAGCTAGGGTTTCGTTGAAGGCACTCTGCCGTTGCTCCAACTCATATATCTTCTCCTGCAGCTTTTCCTCGTTGTCTATGAGATGCTGGACGCGAAGCTGCAAAGCATCAATGGTTGGAGCACTTTCCAATCTACCAGTGTTTTCAGGACTGTCACTGTCATCATCGATGTCATCATCAAGAGCACTGAACTGGGAAGGAGGAGGAAGAGAAGTAGGAAGTGGAGGAGGAGCCATCATGTCTGTAGACTGTACTTCCCTTGAAATTATCTCTTCCTCAATAAAAGCAGGTTTCAAATTCTCTCTGGGCACTTCTGTATCCTTTTCTCTTTCAAGATCCTTCACAGTTTTCTCTAAATCACATATGGTGACTCTTAGTTCATCACAAGTGGCATTAACTGATGCTAACTCTTTCTTTGCTAAATCCAGCTCAATCACTTTCTTCTCCATGATGTTTGCATTGTCTTGAAACATTTTGCTCTTCACCACGTACTCCTCCTTCAGCTGCTTATTCTGTGTGTCCAGCTCAGTCTTCAAATCTGTCTCCTCCTCCAGCCTTCTCCTCAGTTCTGCCAATTCTATCTGCCTCTCTCCAAGGATGCTTTCGTTCTCTTCCAGCATCCTGAACTTCGAAGCCACTTCACCTTCTAAGGACTCTACCTGGAAGCTCAGCTCCACAATAGACTGTTCTCCGCCAGCCTTCAGTTCCTCCAAAAACTCAATGTCCGCTTCCAAAGCCTTCATCTTTTCCTTGAAGGCCGCACGCTCTTCCTCTGCCTCCAGTAACTGCTTAGCTATCTGCTTGTTTTCTTCTTCCAACTTAGACAGACTCTCTGGAGCAAGGAAACTAGAATTGGGTGTATCAGTTTCAGCCAGTTTGGCAACCATCTCTGTTTCTACAGATTGAGATTTCTCAAGCTCCTTTTCAAGGTCATCTTTCAGCTTAACCATCTGATTATAAGCCTCTTCAAGCTCTTTATAATTTGATAACGAGCTGTTGTTGTCTTTCTCAAACTTTTCAACTTTGGATTCCAAACCGGTTTTGACTTTAACTGCCTCCTCAAGATCCTTCTGCAATTTTTGCAGTTGATTATCTTTTAAAGTTTCCTCATCCAGGTTAAGCAAGAGTTCATCTCTTTCAATCTCCATTTCTGCCATCTGTTCCTGGAGATCTTGATTGGTTTTCAATACTTTTTCAAGACTCTGTTCCATCTCAAGGTTCTGTGCTCTCATGTCTTCAAGCTGTTCTGATGCTTCTCTGACGATAGCCTCGTTCTGCTGCAGGGACTCTAACAGCTCTGCTAGCTCACCTTCTGACTGCTGGAGGATATCAACCTTCTCCATAAGCTCAGCTTCAGATTTTTCAAGTTCCTCAACTCTCTTCTTTAGCTTTACCTTGTCATCAGAATGTATACTATGTGCTTCTGAAACTGATTCTTGAGGAAGGTCATCACTTAAAACAAAATCTTCCTCTCCATCATTTTCGTAATCCTCAAATTCTTCTCCAAAGTGAGAGATATTGGTCCTACCGGTGTCCAGAGCACCCAAACCTTCATCCATTAAGGAAGGAAGACTCTTCTGAGTGCTTCCAAGGTCATCTCCTGCAAGCTTGCTCACAACTTGCAGCTCTTCCAGCTCTGTCTCTACCTCCTGGAGTTTCTCTTTCAGGTTTTTATTCATAGATTCACTGTCCTCTAATTGCTCCTTTAGTGTTTCTGTCTCACTCTTCCAGTGGTTCCCAATTTCCTCAAGCTCAGCTGCCTTTTCTAGCTGCATGTGTTCTGATGTTCTCAGCTCTTTAAATCTCTCCTCATAGCTGTCCTCTAGATGCTTCATTTCTTCCAAAGTAGCATCCACTTTCTCTTCGGCTTCCTTCTGAGCAGACTCAAGCTCCTGGACTCGTCGCTTCAAGGTCTTTTCCACAACCTCCAGCTCCACTATTCTCTCTCTCAGCATGTCTTCATTATCTATCACACTATCTTTCAGAAGCTCTTCAATCCCCTTCATTCTTTCTTCCATTGCTAGTTTTTCATCCTGTACAGCTCTCACAAGACTTTCTAATTTGGTGACCTCCTCATCTTTCTCTTGGAGTTGACATCGTAGTGCCTCTTCTTGTTGGACATCACTTGGATGCTGTAGAGGTACAGCTTCTGTCGTGTGCTCTGCTTGGGAAACAATAACATCTTCACAAACAACAGGATCAGATTCCTTTTCAATTTCAGTAGAAATTGATTCACACTGGCTCAGTTTCTCATCCAGCACCTTGTTTTCTTCATTCAAAATTTCAACTTCAGATTTCATTTCTGCCAGTAATTTCTTTAAGGAGGATCGTTGTCCTTCCAACTGTATAACATTTTCTCTTGTCGCCATCAATTCCTCTTCCAGCTTGCTTTGAGCTTTCTTGATCTTCTCCTTTTCTGATTGTTCCGTTTCATACTTTTCCTCCATTAAAAGCAAAGATGCCTTCGCATTTGACACTTCAACAACCTTCAAAGCGATATCTTTCTCTGCCTTCTCCACTGAACTTGACGCTTCCTTTTGAGAATCCTGGAAATCAGCAAGCTGTTCTAGCAGTCTGGAAAGCTCCTCATCACTCTCCCTCTTACTCTCTTCTGCTTCAATGATCCTTTCCTCACTTTCATCTATTTTTGCTTTCAGGTTGTCCTCTGTCTGTGTCAGCTGCATCTGAAGGTTCTTAATTTCTCTGTCTCTTTCAGCGATGACTTCATCAAAAGCTTGTTGTGATTTCATTTCTTGCTGTTCCAACCGCACGTTTATATTTTCACATTCTTCTGCCTTTGCTGTTAAGTTGTCCTCTGCATGTGCCAGCTGTGTTTGAAGATCCTTGTTATCTGTGTCCCTCTCTGCAATGGCATCATCTCGAGCTTGTTGTTCTTCCCTTTCTAGTTTCATTTGCGCCTGAAGCTGGATTACCTCTGAACATTTTCTAGCAAAATCTTTCTGTACCTTGTCCAGAATTGTTTCCATTTCTTGAAATTTGGAGCTCATCTGCTCTTTACCTGATCTTTCTTGCTCCTCATTCTGTTCATATTTGGCAAGACTTCCCTCTAAAGCAACTATTACTTCATCCTTTTCGATTAAGTCTCCTTCTGATTTTGATAATTTCTGCTGCAACTCCTCTTTCAGCTGCACACTGTCACTCAGTTTCTCATAATCTCTTTCCAATGTTTGATACCTTACATCTTTCTCGGCAATCTCTGTCTCGTACTTTTCCATCATGCTGATGTTCAGTACCTCAATCTCCTTTATGCGTTCCTCAGCTGCCCTGCACCTTTGGTCTAGATTTTCTTGACAAGATGCATCCTGATCCCCTTGGTTTAATTCATCCCCAGACGATTTCAACTTGGATTTTAAGTCATCTCTTTCTTCAATCAGTTGGTTCAACTGCTCTTTGAGAGATTGCTCTGATATCTGGAGGTCTTTTACGACTCTTTTCAGAGTGCCCTCTTTCATCTTCGACTCCTCCAGTTTTTGTCCCAAAGCGCTGCTTTCGTCAGCTCCCCTGAGTTTCTCAGACTCTGTCATTTGATCGCGTATCACCTGTTTCAGTGTGCGTGTTGTATCCTTCATCTCCCGAATGGCCATTTCTTTCTCTTCGACCCGAGACTTCAGTTCCTCGTTTTGCGACAAGAGATCTGAAATCTCTGTCTGGTCGTCTTCATCGCCATCATCACGATCATAGTCTGGACTGTGTGTCCCATCAGTAACCACTTTAGTAGATGCTGTCTCATCGTCTGCACCTGACTTCTGAAGGATTTCATTTTCATCCCACTCCTTGTCACCACTAAAGGCATCCCTGTCAAGCGTTGTAGCATCAACTCCAGGAATGATTGCACTCATGTCCTGGTGTCCACCTGCATCTCGTTGTAATGGCTCTACTTGAATCCCAGTAGCGCTCAGTTCTCTAGCTGCTGCATCTGCCTCTGTCAGGTCCTCTATGGGTTCGTCATCCTCCTCGGATCGCAGCATGAACGCGCTACCAAGAGCTGAGCTTGCATCTTGGAACATTTCAGGAACCAGGAGCTTCCTCCTCGGAGGCTCCTCATCAGAACTATCATCATCCACCTCATCATCTGGCAATGGAAGACTGAACGAGCTATCTGTATCAACATCTTCTGCTACTGTATCGCCATCCTCTTCCTCGGCTTCTTCCTTTGGTGAGCCGTCCATGGTAGCGCCACCGCTGGGCGGGGCTGGGGCTTTCTCCCCGCCCTTCTCCAGAACCTGGAAGAGTTCCTCAACTGCGGATGTCTCGTGATCAGAGTGGTCTTGCAGGAAGTTGAGCTGGGTGTCCGTCTCGGAGCTCTTGGTGGCCTCTATTGCTTCCCAGAGAGACTCGGCCTGGAGTTCGGAATCGGTTTTCTCTGTCTCAGTTTCCATGAAGCTTGAACGCCTACGCTCATGCTGGTGTGAAATTGGATGCAATTCCCCTACTCTGTTGAGTTCACTTTCTCTCTGCAATAATGATAAAATGATAACAGAAACAAAATAATGTTGTGTTCATATTAAATCTTCAATGTCAACATGACAACTGCCTACAAAATACAGGGTTAACATACCATTAAAAAGGTGTTAGTTTTGTTTACCATATGCGTCTGTGCTGAGGAGAAAAGGAAAACATATGGATTGTTGACACATCTATTCTATTTATTTAAAAAAAAAAATCCATTACTGCACTAGATGTATGAAATGAGTGTCCCAGATTGGGAAACAATCCATTTCATTTCAGGTACATGTACATCAATCTGCTCATTTATTCATGACTATCATAAAAAAATAGCTTTGAACCCTTGAAAAATATAGACACAATCAAATTGAATCACCATTGCAGGGTTAGAATTTTCTAAATTTTGGATAGCAAGGAAATAACAGACTTTATGATGTATCAATTATTTATATACTGTATGTTTCAAATACGTTGATGAAAAATGTAAAAAGTTTGTTAAAAAATTATGTTTTATGACCAATAAAACCTCTTAATACAAAAGAAAATTGCTAAACACACAAACAAAAATTCTATTATTATAATGGAAAACATTATGCCATGTAAATGCAGTGAAATATTTAATCACTACTAAACGTACAGTGTAGATGCAATAGATAATAATGAGAAAGAGAGAGAGAGAGAGAGAGAAAGAGAGAATGATTGAAAAACAGAAAAAGGAAATGGGGGATAAAAGTACACAAAAGATGAGCAAGATGAACACTACATATGCACTTATTCTTGTTTGTGAAAAGAAAAAATGTGCAGAGATAAAGGCATTTTATAATACCCATACAGGATGGAATTGTTCATTTGGTGTCACAAACATTCAATAAGATACTTCCGATCAGCAGGTGTTCTCTATATCCTAATACATAATTCATCTATTCTACATGTATGGATCACAAGTTGTTGTTTGTTGCTATGGTAACACATAAATATAAGATAATATCCATAATCACGTAAGTCATTGCCTTATGATCAATACATTCCACACTTTTTATCATTTAGCTAGCTAGGTATAAGAGGGCCACTTTAGATCTATAGTTTAAGCACAGATGTGCATCGATCTCACTGTCATTATAAAACTATACGATGAAACTACGTTATTAGTTGAACATCATGAATTATTTGACATAAATGAAATACACAATTTACTTACATGTACAAGTAGTTTACATGTACAAGTAGTTTACATACGTGTACATTTTAAGAACAATGATGCATACATAAACCCAATGCTAACTTTTTAAACTACATGTACATGCATATATATATGTAAATCATTTTGTTCCTATTTATACCGTAGGTAGAGTCCACCTTACATTAACAAAATAACATAATTGAAGATTGCTGTCATCATATGGCTTGCATGGATACACAGCTGTATAGCTTGCATGGGATGCTACTAAATCCACCAAGGAATTGTAATGACTAACTAATATGAAAACAAACTTGTAAGGATTCTCAGGAAAAACAACAAGAAGCCATTCCAAACTCTTAAAACTGGCCCTAGACATTCCACATTCATTAACATTTCAAACTTATCTACATTTTCCTACTCACCTTAACTTCTGGGATTGCATGAATATACTCCACATTATGATCAACACAAAGTCACAAGACCACTTCCACAAAAACAGGAGTCTTGACTTTAAAAAAGAAAGCTCAGATAATATTCTCTGCAACAACAACAAAAAGCCATCCTAAAATCTTAAAATAGCCCTAGACATTCCATATTCATTAACATTTTAAACTTATCTACATTTCTCTACTCACCTTAACTTCTGGGATTGAATATATTCCACATTATGCTCACTAAACACAAGGTCACAAGACCACTTCTACAAAAACAGGAGTCTCGACTTTCAAAAAGAAAGCTAACACTAAAGATTGGAAGCCCGGTAACACACATACATTTCAAATTGACTCCCTACTACTCCGAACTGAACTCTGCAAACAGTCTTCGTTGACTCACCGCGCTAATAACTGTGTTTAAAAAGGGGCAGTCAAGCATGCAGAGAGAATCTATTCATCTAGATCCCTTGTGAAGGGAGTGGGGACAATACCAACCCCTAACCTCAGGGAGCTTTTATATGGAGGGGATGGTTATTGATTAGTGTAACCGCTTTCTTTTATGAGGGTGTATAATGGCATTATGTCACAGTTATCATTCATCCTTCATTGAGTCTGCATGAGTCTGGGTTCGGTTAGACATGGTTGATTTGTCACTTTGTTTCTACATCACTACATTGGATGAAGTAACATCTATTCATTACATTGTAATTTTGGATCATATTATGTAAACAGACAGCTAACGTCCTGTTTCATCAACAAACATTTATTCTTCATTAATTTATTGATTGATTAAAGGTAAAGACCAGTATTGGAAACGCCCCAATTTCAAAAAATGAAATGGAAGCTCTCATTACCAATCATGTGAAAGAATATGTTTTGACTAATACATGATGATAAAAAATTTGCAGGGAAACCGCCTACTAATTCATATATTTGGTAAATTTGTTTCTCTCATGGTCTGTGAGAGATATAGGGTAGTCCCATATACATCTTTCTGTGTATAGTGCTTGTAACTTTACAAAGAAAGGGCCAAATTTCTTATCATTTTGATGATTCCAGAACCTTGCAGATGCTAGATGCTAGATGATCAACCTTTTCTGATCGATTCCACAACGTTTCTTTCACAATGCAATCGCATGACCATAACTGGTCTTTACCTTTAATGTCTCCAGCATTTTTTGTCTGGATTGAGGATAGAAACAACTCATCATGTTTGTATGATTGAATATAACAGAGAGTTACCGGTATGCCAGTTTCCCATCATTCATTGTGAATCAATCGCTTGATTAATGTCTGTTTTGCTTTCAATGATGAAGAACTCAACATTGGGGAATGACTGAATGGAAATAGTTTATTCTCCTACTCCTGCTGCTTCATATCCTGATATATTGTACATATATTAATACAACTTCTTTTCTTTCACACACTACTAAACATTTCACAGAATGAACCAATGATATTTGTTTTTATCCACCAATCAATTCTTTTCACTTTAAATCCATTTACCAATCAATTATTTCATCAACATAAAATATTTCAACCTAAATAGGGCATATATCCTTTACAAAGTGAAATAATTAGCTCACTATTTGTTCAATTTTTTCCAGCTCAGTATTTTTCTTTCACTTTTTTCCAGCTCAATATTTTTTTTATCTTACTATTTTCTAGGTCAGTATTTTGTTCTTATGTTTGTTCACACACTTCTCCATACCTCACATAATCACCATGAAATCCATTTTTTATATTTCTCCATCTAACCATCAATCAATAATTTACTACCAATATAAAATACATGCACAGAAATGTGGAATCCCCTCCACAGGAATGTTGATGTAATCATCATGTAATTCTCTCTCATTATTTTTCACAAAACAGCTTCATACTTCACACGATCAACGAAGAAATCTATTGATCCATTTTCTTTATTAATCAATCAATCAATCCATCCATCCATCCATTAATCTACTCATCCATCCATCTATTCATCCATCCATCAATCCATCCATCCATCTGACTCATCCACATATCAATCCATCCATCTATCCATCCATCCATCCATCCATCCATCCATCTATCCATCCATCTATCCATCCATCTATCCATCCATCCAATCCATCTATCCATCCATCTATCCATCCATCCAATCCATCAATCCATCCATCTATCCATCTATCCATCCATCTATCCATCCATCCATCCATCCATCCATCCATCCATCCATCAATCCATCTATCCATCCATCCATCCATCCATCCATCCATCCATCCATCCATCCATCCATCCATCTATCCATCCATCTATCCATCCATCCATCCAATCCATCCATCCATCTACTCATCTATCCACCAACCAATCAATCATTCAATCAATCAATCAATCACTTGTTTAAAAAAACATCCTCTCTAACTGGCGCTATAGTTCTCTTTAGAACTATAAGCTCAAAGAAAGATTACCAACAGTCCTTTTCTGGACTCTCAAAACCTCCCCCTCTCTCACATGGTGCAACTTTAAGCCTACTGTATACAGATATATGTATTAAAAAGAAGAATCTCCTCTGAAGAGCAGTTGAAATAATGATGTAAATGAACTCACCATTTTGACCCTATATTCCAGCTGTATGATCTGACCTTGATGTTTCTCAAGGTCACTCTCCATCCCTGACTGATGCTTGCATAGACTCTCTATGTGGAAGCGCTGCTCCTCCAATAATATCTCCAACTCCTTGATTCTCTGTTGAAAAGAATAGGTAAGAAAGAAGCTATGATTGAATTATACTGCATCTCTATTACAGCAATAAGGTAGTGAGGTCAATGCTAGAATAGATGTACAATTAATGATAATCTGAAAGTTTATTTTTGTTTTCTTGCTTGTTTCCCCCCCCCCCCCCCCCCCCCCCCCCCCCCCCCCCCCCCCCCCCCCCCCCCCCCCCCCCCCCCCCCCCCCCCCCCCCCCGTCTTGAGATCTCAAAATCGCCAGAAATCTGCCGATCAGCAGAGGAGTACTCATCTCTGTTAATAAGTAGAATAGCTTGTATAGTCTAAGTTCCTCAAAATCATTCTTACAGTGTCATTCATAATCATGTAGAAGTACGATAATTAAAAAGATGAAGAAAAAAAATAATGTTATGGATTGCATAGCTTCTGCATCCTTTTGAAACTGAAAAAGTCTAAGTTTCTACATTTCTTAGGACTTTATAAGAGTCAGGAAAATACAGGAAAAAAAGCTAATCTAATCTGGGTCTCGATCAATACACACCTCTTTATAGCTCTCTTCTGTCTGTGTGGAAGCCCGGACATCGGTGATCTTCTTTATCCTTTGATCAATCTCTGCTCTGAGTTTATCTATTTCGGCAGCCTTCATGTCTGCGAGTACCTTGTATGAGGATGCTTCAGCCTCCATAGCAGTTAAACTTTTCTTCAAATCTTCACTCCTCTGAAAAAAAGATAAGAAAATCAGCTGTATTGAGCACCCCACGATGTAGAGAAAGATTTATAATGAGTGAAGCGTGATGGCTCAGTGGTAGAGTAGAGCAGTGGTCTCTCATAACTGGGAGGTCCCAGGTTTGAAACCAATTAGATGTGCTAATATTGTGGAAAATGCAGCCTTACGTGATCAGACATGTAACATAAAGTAAAAATTGTCATGACTTTCATGTATTATTCTTGTAACTTATGAACACAAAAAATCTGGAATATCTGTTTAAGAATTAGGCATGCACTTGTTAATTGATGAGAGACTGATAAATAAATACCTGTTCTAATCTTTGGTTATCTTCTTCCTGCTCTGCTGTTTGCATCTTCAGTTTCTCATACTGTTCTTCCATTGTTGTCAGTCTCTGTTTCATATCAACATCAGACTCTTCAAAATTAGAAATAGTCTGAAAGAGAAAGGATAAAAAGGGACATAATAAAGCTCACCTTTAATACCAATAACAGGGCTGATGATGAGAAATAAGCCATGGTAAACAATCAGGGGTCACAGGAGTGGGGGCACATCTCCACTCCCTGGGGAGTATTCCTACAATATGGTCACCTTGAGGACATACAGCAATTACTGACACAAATGCTTTCGTCATTCTATCAGGTCCCCATTTTTCTCATGGGTATGGAGTGGCACATGTAGACTAATGCCTTGCCAAAGGACATTAGTGACGTGTCGAGGATCAAACCCGCAAACCTTTGCATTACAAATCAATTGCTTAAACCACTTGACTACGACACCTCCACTAACCAAATTCTTATTTTCAATCCTGAACCAAACACTAACCGTAACCCCATATTGTTGACAACATAATGCCCGGAGCAAAAGTCAGTGAAGCATATGTCGGAGCACCCTGCTCCCAACAACAACAAAAAACAAGGGAAAAGCAAACAGCTTGAAAAACCCTCCCTTATCACATATTTCATCAATCTAATAAGACTGCACGTATGTAACATTGAAAAAGACTGCACATTTGAAATAGAATATGTAAAAGAGAGACTATATTCTTAAAGTTACCTCTTGAGCTGATTGTAGCACCTTTGAAATGGAAAAGATGAAAGTCTTTTGTTCCTGACTTGCTGAAGAATTCTGCAGTTCAATTACAAAGAAATACAATACAAGAGCAATATTAAACACTTATAATAAGATAATGAGAAAAGTAATGATTCTTTAAACTGTGTATAGTGCCTTTCCAGTTAAAAGCAAACGATCAAAATGCTTTAAAAATGTATAACAGGAGTCAAGACTCAAAACTGATAATGTTTCGTTAAAAATGCATATTCACTTTTAGTATAATGGATTCATCCCAAAATTAATAAAAAATAGAGAAGAAAAAGTTTACATGTATACAAAACTTACTTAAAAGGATTTATAATTACAAACACTGAAAACTATTGCAACTGTTTTATATCCTAGAAGTACTATGAACTGTGACAAGGCATCATACAATGTAAGTAAAATGATAAATAATACCTCTTTGCATGTTAATTGGTCCAGCTTTTGCTTCAGTTCTGAAATGTGTGTATACTGTATTGGAAAAAATAATAAGTAAAAAATAAGCCATCAGAATAACATGGGATCTGCAGCAGTTCTATGGATATATTATGATGTACAATAACAGCAGGGTGTGCAGTAATGTAACAACATCTCAAACTTTTCAGTTTGTTTGTAGCATGTGGCTTACTGAAAATTGAGTGTGTGCATGGTAAATATTTTTTACAGTTTTTATTGTGTTCTCTCATACTTTCTTGCTTTTTGTCCATTCTGCTACACTGTATATGTACATCAACCAAAGATGTACCTCCTGCCTAGTTTACAAATACATACCAGATTATCTTGATGTGTTGCCTTGTGGCTCTGTCTCTCTCACTCTTTCTTTTTCCCCTCTCTCTCTCTCTCTTCTAAACAGACATTTCTGGCTAATATGTATCTCTCCCTCTCTCTTTTCGTTTCTTATATATTCCTGTCTCTCAATATTTCAAATAATCAAACTTATCTACCACCTATCAAATCGAATAATGTTTGAGCATTGTAAATACTAGTCACCTACAAGTACATATACATATCTATAAAATGACTTACAGTGAGTTGTTCAATAGTTGTATCAAAATGAATGCTCCAAATAAAGCTTGGTTGATCTGGAAGAGTTGTGGATTCAGTTGCTCGGTTGTCTTTGGCCTGTAAACACGAAAAAGAACCCTGTTTTACTCCAGTTCATTTGAAACTACACCATTCAATTCTTTTTCAGCAACAGAAATTTACACAATGTTATGGAGACTAACTTCTTCATTATGCAATCACAATATCATAATTGGTATACAAATTTATGAAGAATTTACGTTAAAAATGAATCTAGGCTGAGGTAAATAATCACATTAGTTCATGCTCAGCAAAATAAAAACAAATAAGTTTACATAAAGATTTCTAAGAAAAGTTTCAGAGAAGTGTTTTTCTAAGATCACAGTTTTCCCTTACCTCATTTATTGCATTGAGTTGTTCATTTGATGATGAAGTTGAGTCATCCCTCTTTTGCTCACTCTCATCTCTTTCCTTCTTCAATTCTTCCAGTTCCAGGACCCGAAACTCCAGATCATCATTCTGGTCCTGAGATTTTCGGAGGGACCAATTGAGTTTGGATTTGCTCTCCTCTACTTCAGCTAACTGTACAAATTATGAATGAAAACATTTCATATGCACTATTAAGCATCACATAAGCAATTATGAAACAAACAGCTCGCAAATCTACGTTATGAAAGAATCTCCACAAGCAGCATGTAACCAAGGCTGCCAGGAAGGCTGTCCCTACCACTCCAGGGGGTCGTTTTACAAAGATCCTAAGTTGAATTCATCTCAAGTTGGACTTAACAAGTATGGAAAGTATATGAAAATATTTTGTAAAAGTTATGAAATGTTGATTCAAATCATTCATATTTTCTATTATCAAGGAGATTTCATGTTCTTGATTTTGATATATAAAAAGTCTAAAATACTTGATTTTTTGCTTATGAATATATTTTATTTTAAGGCTACAAATGGCTCACCATGATGATAAAGTCCAACTTAAAGTTAAGTTCAACTTAAGATCTTTGTGAAACACCCCCTGGAATCAAAAAGCCTAATCACTATGTGGTCACCATGATAGACAGATTCACTGCTACCAGGAGGCTAATGAACTTCTGCAAAAGAACTGTTTATTTTCAAATACACGGAGATGCAACTGATTTGACATCAGAGGATTGCAGAAATACTTAATGTGTGAGATTATTAACCCATAGCTTGTAACTATTTGAATGTGAGATACATAATCCAATTAAATTGAAAATTCATATGATCGATATATATGTCAGAGTAGTGAAATGCATGATCCAGAACCTACTTTCTTCTTTAAGACCTGCAGCTGTTTTTCAAGTAACTCTTTCTCCTTCAGCCAAGCTGCAGCATCCAATTCCGGTCCAGAAATCAAATGCTATAATTTTGAAACAAGACAAAAATAATAGAGGAGAGATACAAGGGATAACATAAAGGCATAGGCAACTACTCAAAGGGCAGATATAGTGGCCCCCAATGGTGATACAACATTTTTTCTGGGAACAATTGGTCCAGGCTTTATCAATTGAAGATGTGGGGTCAGCTAGGGTTGCTATTGAGTTTTAGGTTGGTTCAAGGGTTGGTTTTAGGGTTAGGTTAATGTTCAGGGTTAGGGATAGGGTTTAAGTTCAAGTTTGATTATGGTTATGGTTAGGATAAGGGTTAGTGTATAAAATGCATGGTCCAAAACTCCTGTTTCAAATTCACAAAGTGTAGGAAATTGACAATGGAGCAATTTTCTATTCTGCATGTATCGTAAAACCACTGTTCAGCCATCTGTTTATTATTATTATGATTAATTTGGCGTCACCTGTGCCTGGGAGGCGAAAAGCGAACTGAATCACTGTAATCCTCGGGTCTCTTCTCCCGGTATAACTGATTGGGGTGTGCAGGTGGACCACTACACCGGGGTTACCCCCTCCTCTTAAACGAATAGTGCAGTGGGGATCTTAACGTGCAAAGGTGGTGACTCTCCTCTACACGGGGCCTCCATTTAACGTCCTATCCGAGGGACTGAAATTCTAGACAAACCTGAACCTCAAGGTCCTCTCTGTCCAAGTCAATGGAACGCACGGAGACAGGTGTAGCAGTCCGGGAGGGCGTGGTGCTAGGGGAATCCCCTTGGTGCCATGAAGCTGTGTCAGAGGCAATGCCCATGCCCTGATGATTGAGAGGGGATGTTGCCATTCTCAGCTATTGGAAAACAAATGGGAGAGAAAGGATTATTGCATTGGTTAGCCATTTGCTGTAACAGAGTGCAATGAGTACAATGAAGGTATAACATTTGATTATTCAATTATCTATAAAATGGCCACTTGCTTTGCAGGAAACATAATAAAGAAGATATTGTAAATTTACATTCTTATTTCAGCTTTGTTTTATCAAAAGGCTAATTATCAAGCAATCTTAGTATTTCTAAATCTTCCATTCGAATAAACTTCACTCCGAAGTAACGGAAATCTCTTTTGGAAAGAAAAAGTAGCCATTGTCAATCCAACTGCATGGATCAGCACTCAGTTTCTCGGGTTGAATTTGCCACCAATGAAATGTTAGGAGTTAAACGAATACTTGATACATTCCTTAAACAACATTACCACTAGAAAATAACATCAAGACATAATACAACTCATTCCCCTTTACATGACAGAATAAACGTAAGCTATTAGCATGACTAAAAACTATACCTTTTTCTCTTTTTCTGGGACTAAGGGACTCATTGTTCGGTGTCGGACGGTGTTTCCGTTCTGGCTGATTCCATGGCCAGGAGAGGGAGTCCTTCTTCCGCTTAGACTTGAAGACAGAGTGGGGATTCTCGATGTAGGGCTTTTCTGTAATTTGTATTAGGTGTACATGTATAAAAAGGGAGATTTCACAAATAATGAACCAAACATCAGTACCGTACGTCATTTATCAGAGCTTGCTAAATAAATCCTTACTTTGTTATCATTGACTTCAGAAATATCAAAATATTTTGATAACAAAACATTCTTGTAAAGATTAACTAGTGCTACACAGAATGACAGGTGAAATTAGTATCAAACCTGTCTACAAAGGTCATTGTAAGGAAACAGTAATACAGCTCATGAATGCAGGTGCTAGACAGGTTCTGCAAAACGTAAATCTGGAATGTGGATTTAATAGATAAGAGACCATTTCTAAACAGGTTTTTTTTCTACAAGAATAGAATGACTGTAAACTTTTGGCCTTCGTAAAGATGTATGTTTTACATATAGACTAAATAAGTGATTCTATATTAAACATCCAAGTATACTTACAGCCTTGATGACTGGAGCGTCTACTTTCTTAGACCTGCTATTCAGATCGGGTCTAGGTTTAACAGACAGACCCTCTCTGGATCCCAGGATTGGGATGCTGCTGAGTGAAAATGGACTGGTCGTCTTCAACCTCCGATCCTAGCATGAAAAGATGAGAACAAGGAAGATTATACAAATGGTCTTTGATATATCTATCGCTCTGTGGAGGCACTAGCCACTTCAAAGGCATGAGTTTGTATCCCACTCCTGAAACCAATTTTTTTTTTTAAATTGGGGAAGTACGATGGATCAGTAGAAGAGCAGTGCTGGTCTCGTAACCGGGAGGTCGCGTGTTCGAAAACAAGTCGATGCGCTCATGCCCTTTGGTCAGGCATTAATCCTCATTTCCAAGTCCCTCGGAGAGGATGTCAAGCTGTTGTTCCCCTGGTTACTTACTAACATAAATATGTATGCTTTCTTAGCAGTCAGGTAGTAACAAACTAACAAACAGACCCACACGAAGGATGTAACATAAATCAAGCTGTGTCTTCTCAATTCATCAATCATTTCACATATCCCACCGCTGCCACCATGCTAATGGAAACAAAACAAAACCCATACCAGGAATTACTTTAATGTGGAACCATCCATAACAAGTGCCTTCTGCAAGATATATACATTAAGTTTTTTCTAGTTGGGTGTTAGTGTTAGTGTTGGTGTTTAGAGCAGTCAAGCAGGTTCTCTCTGCCTCATGCAGCTTCCTCGCTTCCTCTTTAGCTTCCATCAAGAACTGTAGAATGACGTTTGGATGATAACCGGAAGGTGAGGATATTCAGAGGTCAACGCCGTTACTCCAGCTGATTTCCATTTTGGTGTTTAGGGCTGGTGTTAGTGTTTATTTAACACTTACACCAGTCCTAAACACCCAACTTAAAATCACTCATTGTGTATGTTTACCATACAGTCTAGCATCCTTCACAGTTTACCTTCACATTTTACTCACTTCATTCCTGTTGCTGTCCGGTGAAAAACCATTACTGGACGCGCTCCTGCTCACGGATTGACTCCTCCTCTCCCAGGTGTCGGCCATCTTGGCAAGGTTGAGCTCCTGTCCCAGGGTATCTTTCTCCGCCTGGAGCTTGAGTGCATAGCCAGCCTGGTGTCCTAGCTCCTTCTCAAGTTCAGCAATCACGCGCTGTTTGGTTTTCAATTCATCAACCTGCGATAGAAGTACAGAAAGAAAAATATGACTAGTAAATCTCAATACAATATGCTTGCAGATACAGTGATCTTCAACTTCGAAAGCAAAGAAATTCTTCATTGGTTAGAGGAAATTGTTCATTTTAAATACTTATTTTAAAACAAAATTTAAAGACATTTTCATGAAAACACTTTTTGGGAAGGTATTGGAATGTGAAACATGCAGAAGAGTTTCAGCAGCATACCGGTATATGCTTATTTCAAAAGAAATTCTAATTCCTCAAGAAATGTATGACAATTGAGATGACAAATCATGGCATTTGCATATATTGTTATAACTAACTGCAACAAGAATAGTTTGAATAATTTAACCTGCTAATGATACATGTACATATATATATTCACATACCCGGTAGTCAAGTACCCAATGTTTGTCCACACATATACACCGGCCTGTATAATTTAATGATTCTACCTTAAAAAGTGAGCTTCAAACGGTTGATTCCAAATCTATAATTCTGTACAATTCATGCCTACTTAGAATCTGTAAATTACCCAGAATTATAATACAAATACATCTTTCAAAATTAGAGACTAAAAACATATGGAATACTTACAAATTAAGGAAGTTAAAGTACCGGAGCTATAAACAAACTTGTAAAGTAAGCTCTCAACAGGCAACCTATTCTCCAGTTAAACACTTTGTTGATCTATTGGACCTTGATCAAAGGGCATATTAAGAGTTCCAAAGTTCACACAATCAGGTGTCAATAAATTCCTTGGCAGAGAAATGTTTATCTTGAGACAACCTATGATAGTGATTGCAGTGATCATTGTCAAAATCTGTAAACTCTTAATATTGGAACAGATGCGCGATCAGTTTCTCATTAGTGAAATAATAGGTATGTACATACTTGCATCTTTTAAATTGTTATATTTCCTTGAAACAAGCAGCGAAAAAACAGAAGGAATATTCTTCACACTTATTGTAAAGATTAATCGATCAATTTCTGAATTCTCGTTTCCTTTTGCCTCACAGCAAGCTATAGAAACCATCCAGTTTCCATTTGAATTGTCATATAATCTGTTGGATCCAAAAGGGCATTAACTATTTCAAAGTAATAAAACAAGTTAACACCCTTCTGGCTCTAGAATGATGAAATCATATTATAGCTAGATTTTCAGCACTCACAACTACATGTACTCAAGCCATTATGACAATTCAATTTATTGCTGAAAATAGCCCTTATAAGAAGAAAATACATATACATATCAATTGTACAAAGCCCTACTTGACCTGATGCATTCTACTTCTAATAATTAACGACTGAATATTTTCAATAAAAAAACTTTTTGTCAGCAGTGAAGCATCACCTTAATCTAACAAAAGAGAAGAAAAGTATGAAGCAAACAGCAACTCTATTCTGTGCCGTTGGACTACCCAATTACATGCACAATAGAAGGAGGTCCTGGGGGTCATTGTTGGTTGCTAAGGACCTTGTTTACCATGGTTACTTACAGCTCTCTGGTGTTACTGAAAGCATTCACACTTCAATGCATGCATGTCTATTTGTATGAATTCAAAACCTCAACAACAAAAACTGATTTCAGAAGAATGCCATTGTCAAAAAAAGATAGTCATCAGCCATTCTCCAAAGATTAATGTGAGAAGGTATAAAGACCAACTCAGATTTGTGTGGTTAACAAGGTCAAAATGGTTGCTATGGACAATGTTTACCATAGTTACGCTTCGTGCTTCATGCAAAGTGCAATTCAGACCACAATATATTGAATCTATAGTTGTGCATTCAAGATAAACTGCAAAATATCTGAATAGGACAAAAATTGCATTGACAATAAGAAGCCATAAACCTCCTCTCAAAAGTTAAATAGGTCAAAGCTTTTAGTATGGTGCTGTAAGTGTTGATGATCAAATTACAATAGAAGGTCATAAGGTCAGGATGGTTGCTAGGGATCTTGTTTAACACGGTAACAGCCTTCTGGTGTAATAAAGGAACAGCAGGGTACCTTACAAGATAATTACAACTGCTGGCGTGGAAATGTCACCAGAAATTGCACTCAACAGTGCTCTGCATTAATGTGAATTAACAAATGAAGTTCACTCGATAGCACAAGATCGAGAAGGAAGTCCAAGTTATTCTTCTGGCAAGTATTTGGCAGAAAATAATGTCAAAACATTGGGTATGGTCTCAATCTTACGATCAAAACTGTTTACATAAATCAGGATGTAATTATGCCCTGCTTCATCATAATACATCACCACTAATCATTATCAAATTTTGGGGAACACATTGAAAGACAGCTAGGCTACAAAACAACTTTGCACATATTCCAATGGATGAAGGCTAAAACCAATGGCCACTCTGGAACTGTATAATGCATATACTTGTAAATCACATACATTGATGCTCAAATATGTTGCAATGTTGATTACATGTATGTTGCAAATGATTCTTCACTAGTTCACAATGTGTAATACAGGATCCTTGCAATACACAGATATGTCTATCATTAAGAATTTTTCCTGAATTCATTGTACAGTAAGTAAGCACATCTTCAATACCAAACTTAATTGTTACATACTTGTATATCCAATAACCTTCCAACAATATTATGGTAACCTGACCCTATTCATGCATTACCAAAATCAATAACACACAATTCCAAAGATCATGGGGTCCTTACACATGACCCCTTCAATTGAGTCTGACATAATAATAGGAACAACTTTACAGAAAAGGGGGATTAAATTGAGCCTATTTCATGAGATACAAAAGACTACTTGACGCACTGTGCACCATAATGGGGGACAAGCGCTCACAATCAAAGTCATATAGACTTGAATAGACAGCAAACAAGGACCACTGGTTTTTTGATTGATTTACCTTCTGAAGACTGCACTGGTTGCAGAGTAAACTTACTTTTATTGGACCAGAAACAAGGTTAACTCAGTCCTCCGGTGTGTACTATAACCCATGTCAATTATAACAAGCCAATCTTTCTGATGAGTATACTGGACCAAATTCTCCTTTCAAATGCAGATTGCAAACAAATATAAGACCAGGGGGTATCTATACAAGTACGACTAAAGAACTGTTCTTCAGCAAACACTTGTACATCTACATTTTAAAGCTGATTACAGAGTGATAAGCCATGTCACGCTGGTCTTGAGCTGAGCCAGGTGCACCAGTGTGGGTTCTCTGGCGTTGGGGAGAGCATTCTTTTCTTTTATCGCTACTACACAACAACAACAAATTTAATACAGAAATACCAGTAGGAATGAATCAAATACTAGATCTATTTACAGCTACCGTAAACAAAAGACAATGGCTGATAATATCATCTCAATGAAAACAGAAGTCTTCAAAAATTCAATGTTAGTTTGGTGACAAAACTTTATAGGACATATTTGAAACAATTAAACCATACACCTTTATTTTTTTTTTTCAACAAGTGGTTTAGAAAAGGAACATTACATGCTTTAAAAAAGTTTTTAAAAGCTTTTATATGAGGAACACAGTTCTTTTCATACATGTACCCGTATTTACCTTTCACTAATGTATGTAATCCATGTGTTGGGGGCTTGTTCTCACCATATGGGCAATTTTATGTGCACATCTGTAGGTAATTATTGATTTCATTATGTTATTATTTTTGGTTGAATTGCTCTTATTTGCCATGTATTCTATGTTGTGACTAAATGTATGGTTAATAAGGAAATATTGTTTTAAAAAAATAAAGTGCATAGGGAATTATACAAATTATTATACGCTATATGACAACTTTCCATTATCATCATTATCATTATTTGTATTACTATTATTAGATTAGAAAACTTCTCATTAAACATAATAGAAATATATATCATTGTATTAATTGTAATCTAAGGTTAGGTAAAAACACAAATTGAAAATCAAAGATAAAACCATTTCAACTATAGGCAGTCGTAAGAAAATTAAGAAAAAAGTATGCAAGAACATTTTGTACACAACACTCATTTGTCATCTATTTTGAAAATATAATATCACATCACACAAGTTTACAAGATGAAAATTGTCTTGGTGGGCAGCTTTGCTTACCGTAGTTGATCCATCATGAAATGATATATGAAATAAAGCTGGCTACATGAACTGTACATCCAGGATATCAAAATTATGAAAAGGCACTCTTTTAACATATCCTTTTTTTTAAAATAATGTCAGAAATTCAGAATGCACTTACCAGACGAATAATGTCTCTCCGAGCATCTTTCTTCAGCTGATCCATCTCCCGGGCATGCTCCTCCGAGATTCTCCGCAGCTCGCCGCCATTTTGTCTGTTTGCTGCCATCGCATTTTCCAAGTCCGTTTCTAGTTTCTTCTTGATGCTCCTCAGTTCAGACGTCTCGTTAAGGAAGCGGGTTCTCTCTGCCTCATGCAGCTTCCTTGCTTCCTCTTTAGCTTCTATCAAGAACTGCAGAATGACATTTGGATGATAACTTTAAAACCTGACTGGAGATTGTTGTCTTTTCCCCATTTTTAGCAAGGGGGCTATAGCCCTACTCTAGTGTTTCCATTTAAAGCGGGACTACACTACTTGTAGCTACTTTCGCCCTCTATACAGTAAACAATGCGTAATTGGCCCATGGTCCCCTTTTTCTTATGTTAATTGAGAGCTGATTTGATGAGATATAACCACCTGCCAGTGACCAGACAGTCCTTCCTGGCCAAACTAGTGCAGATAGGCTTTAAATGTCATCACAAATAAACTTTCAAGAGTCAATAATTTGAATATCTGTTCTTCTTTCCATCTATAATCCAATTAAGATGCAGCACAAAAAGGGGTTACATATTTTCTTGCCCAATGAATACTGGCTATTCATCATGGTCAGCACTTAATGAAAAGATCGATATCTACTAATTTCAACACGAGGCATACATGAATGTCCAGTATAGTACTTGAGATACTTACGACTATGATTAGCATCTTTCAAATAATAGCCACTGTAAAATTGTGAATCAAAGGCTATTAAATGAGATACTTACGACTATGATTAGCATCTTTCAAATAATAGCCACTGTAAAATTGTGAATCAAAGGCTATTAAATAATTTCATCAAAGCTTATTAGTACACCAACATTTTGCAAAATGTTCAGGTATTTTTTGACTGCACAAATGTAAAATCTATACCTCAGCTCTACTTTTCCACAAAGACCACTTCGTTTGTTATTGATTTTTTAAATATTCACCTGATTTTTAGTTTTCTGAAGAACTGCATCTCTCTCTCTCTGCTGTCCCTCCCCACTCTTTATTGAGGCATCCTTCTCCTTAAGCAATTTACTCCTCTCGGATGACATCTGTTTCATCAAGGACTCCCTCAACGTCTCCAGCTCCTTCGTCTTCTCTGCCTCCAGCTTGAGCCTGAGGCTTGCCAGAGCCTCCGCTGACTTCTTCTGCTCTTCGCTCCTGACGTTGCGCAGCTCCGCCACCTTGTCACGCTTGAGTCGCTTCGTGGAGATCCTCTCCATCTCCAACTCCTTCTTGAGTTTGGTGATGTGCTCCTTCATTTCATCCATCTTCACCTGAAGACTCCCTGGTCTGTCTAGTATGGGTAAGGTGGAGCTGAGAGAAGCTCCTCCTCCTCCCCCTCGGGGTCGAGGGAGAGGATCCGGGGGTCGGTTGGTGGCCATTTTTTGTTTCTACGAGTCCTGGCACCTAATAATCCTTGTGTTGGTTTTCATTATCACAAAGTTTCCTTGATCTGTTAGTGCAGCTAGTGCATGACCTGAATAGTTTGTTGGGATAAAGATGGTGCAAGCTAGCACACAGAAGTCTTGAACTTGCTGAATTAACCCGTTATACATTACAGAGTCTTATAGTCAACGTAATATCACTGCCTTGAGTCTTGAACTTTGGCTTTGGCTGCAAATTTTAATGAACAAACAGAAAGAGCATGATTTATTAATAATACATTGTACATCTAAGGCCATGTAAAATTGATTTCATGTTGATCGTCCCCGCCCGCTTCCTTTTTGGGGGCCGCCTCCTATTTTTTGTTATTTGTTATTTTTTTTTTTTTTTTTTGAAATTTTTTTTGAATTTTTTTTTGATTTTTTTTTTTTTTGAAAGAAAAAAAACATGAAAAACACTGCTAAAATGGCTCTATTTCTGATTTAAAAAAAAAAAAATTGTCGGCGGCCATCTTGAAAAAAAATAGCCTCGACTGTCAGGGAAAATGTACCGAGCGGCCATTTTGAGCGGCCATTTTGAAATATCAAATATCAAATAACATGGTACACCCTCCTCCTCTTTTTCAAAAAATCCGGACGATCAACATGTAATCAATTTTACATGGCCTAAGTGATAAAATATTTTATATCATGTATACAGTGTTGTAAAAATGTAGACCTATATAGCACTTGTAAACATAAGATTTCAAGCATATAGCTGATCTACATGCACTCGGCACTTAAATAGTCAGCAGCCATAAATGGCAAGAAACCTTGTAAGTCATCTTCCAATCACACATTAACGGTTAATGGGGCTCGATCATTTTACATGAGACCCATAATTTTTTTAAACAATTTTATCAAAATCAAATACTTCACACAAATCTTGATTAACATTTAGAAATACAATTCATAAATATGCAATTAGGCTAGCCGCTACTAATTATCACGATATACCAATGGGATTAATTCAACAACATGAAGAAAGGTCATTCATGACGTAATGCCATTTAAGAAGTTACACTTGTGACTGTGTTGATAACACTCACCATCACGTTATCTGCCCAACATGCAAGTATTCAGCTATAGTCGAGGTCTAGATCTATTTGAAGAGTGAGTTGAAACTGTAAACTCGATATCCTCCTAGCTACTGACAGATGGCTAGGGGAAATTCCCCACCGAAGTCGCCAACGAGCAAGCTTCAAATCCCGCTGTCAGTCTAGCTGCTTGTGTGAATATTCCTTTTCATCTAGTATCTGTCACATCCACGGTTTTGCTGCCTCGTTGCTCATTGTACGTACTGTATAGAGACAGGCAAGTGACAGGTGCATTGGCTTCAACAGCACAGGTTAGGAGAAAAGCGCGAGATACAGAAAAACCGAAGAAATTAGCTGCAAGCTGCGACGATCATTAAAATTCATCACATGTGCACACTCGGTATGCTAGCAAATACCAATATGCTGATTGGTATGCTAGCAAATACTAATATGCAGAGTTACACACTGATGCATGTACGTAACCACATTCACTCTCTTCTAGCTCCTCCTCCTTAGATACTACACGCACCTCCCTTGGAAACGTCTGCAGTGCTCAGTTGCTTATTGGAATTCGCGGGATTAATGTTTGGCCTCGCTAACCTCTAATAAATCAAGGGCGTTGTCAGAGTGGTGGGGGAGGGGCGTGACAAGTCCTCTTGTATACTTGAAGATTTTATTTTTATGATCCCCTTATTTTTCATTTTTCAAGCAATGCCGGCAATTTGGAAAATCACCATAAAATATGAACTACGTATTTAAGCTTGGCATATCCTTTGCTTTTGTAAATTATAGAAACCCGATTTTCTATTTTCTCCTCACGGTGTTGTTTTCTAGTTAGAAATATTTGGAAAATGATATTGGTACTGACACCTCTGAGCTGAGGAAAGTAGGGTTTGGGCACAGAAAATCTTTGATTTCTGACTCTCTTATCCAGCAAAGCTCTATACGGAAGAAATTGACAATGTTTCTATTTTCTCCCATCTCTCTCTCTCTCTCCCCCTCTCTTTCTCACCCCCATCTCTCCTCCACGCACCCTCCTCCTTTTCAATATATAGGACAGTTTCTTATAAAAACCACTTTGATTCATATTTTTGGGGTAAACATTTGTCTCTGTGAATGCGTCATTATGTATATATATATATATATATATATATATGTATTAAAAAAAAAAGAGTTAACTCTTCACGCTTGGATGGGCACATTCATTTAACTGTTAGAAGGTCTATTTATGAAAATTGCAAAAATAGAGCAAGTAGCCTTTAACATGATAATGAACATGTGCATCTGTAAGATATTCTTGATAACAATGGAACAATGAAAACAAAGAAAGAGAAACAAAGGCGAGGTCTGAGCTCTGGATGTCAACTATAGTCTCTCCTCTTTCACCCAAGATCATGGATGAGCCATATGATACCTTCAATACTCATCAATATTTGAATGGCAAAAAGTCCCATCAGTTGTGCAATTTTCTTTCAGAGACTCATTTATTGTTAATGGCTACTCTCACTCATGCATGAATGGTATGATTCCAATTAATATACTTGATATATGAAATATTAAGTTTATATTAATAATATATCTAAAAATTTGATTTATAATAATGTCCATTTTTCTTCTTTGCTAAGTGTACAATTTTACTATGATCTAAATTCTCAATGAATCTCTTTTTTTATGTACACAGGAATAACATTTGTTTCAGTGTTGGAATCTTTTTTCTTTCTTTCTGAATTATAACTTGAAGTTCCTACTCACATTCCATCTCTGTATACCCCCCCCCCTCTCTCTCTCTCTCTCTCCTCCCTCCTTCTCTCTTCCTTCCCCCACCCTCTTTCTCTCTTCTTCACTCTCTCTCTCTTTGCTTGCCATTTTGTACATCCTTCATCATTCATATTTTTTATATGCCAAAGTACTTTGGTTCTCAGCGAGCAAACCCACTCTCAACTTGAGAGCTGTCATATGAAACTCCACTGAACAAAGACGAACAGGAATAAAATTTGTTTCAGTGTTGGAGTCTTTCTTTTTTTTCTTACTGAATTTCACATTTAAGTTCCTACCCACAGTCCGTCTCTGTATCTCTCTCTTCCTTCCCCCCACCATTCTCTATATCTCTCCACCTTCCCCCTCTCTCTTTGCCTGACTCACTCTCAAAATGAGAGATGTTTTATGACACTCAACTGAACAAAGACGAACAAACTACAAGCATTTTAAATGAATAACATTTTATTAAGCACCAGGGTGAGACCCCTATCAATATAATGATGCAATATACTTGTAATATATCATCTTCAACAAGAACTATTTTACAACAAATAAATACAATGTCTGTGATATTGCCTTCACAGAAACTATGGTTGTTTATCCTTCATTCTCATTGAATTTTCAGAATTGATGAGAGAATATGTATGAGATCGTGCAAAAATCCATATTATTCCATTTCCATTTCTCCATCTATCTTTATATTTATGTGTGCATGGCTAGTTCCTTTCTGTAAATTACTGTTGAGCAAGTGTACTGCCGGCTTCATTGAATGAAAAACTACAAATGATATCTACATGGACGTTATCATCTTCTTCCTGTAATTCAAGAAAACAATGTTTGAAATACAAACTATTTTGATACATTGGTTAAAAATGCATGCAAATCACACACACAGAAGTACATGTAGTACAAAAAGACATCATGCTATATACAGGAAGGGGGAATAAAATTTGTGCGTATAAATAATGTCTTCTTTTTGAATTCAGCAAGCTGAAATATTACTACACTCCAGTTTTGATAAATATCAACAGTTTATGAAAATGTACATGAAATAACATTAAAGTTGTATGGTTCCTCTAAAGAGGTACATTTCCCCCCTCATTGTTATATGTAGGAAATAAATTCATGTTAAACAGGAAGATCTATAAATAACATATTACATTCTACATGTTTGGCATGGCAGCTATAACAACAAAGTGAAGATCTAAGTTGAATATTCTTGTTAAAAATTAAATCTTTCTTTAGCAATACATGTTTGTTGACCTAGAATTTTTTTTCCTTTGTATATTGTTGACCCAGAAACTTTATTACTGACCTTTATTGTTGCAAGACTGTAAATTTAAGTTATACATTTGGGAAATTTGTGAATTTAGACTTCAACACTTTCATCAATATGATATAATTCTCTTTAGTAACAATAAAATGAATTTTTCATATTGAAATAAATATTGATATACATGTTCATCACAACAACCTGTGAGTCCTCTCAGTCTCCGAAGAAAATGGCAAGAAAAAATGATTGTCTATCTCATGTTGTTGACGACTGCACTTGTGAATTCATGGGTTGTTGCATAGCCACCGAGATCTTGAGTTCGAACCTGATAAGTGAAAAGAAAAGAAAAATCATGGTAAATGCATTTACAGGTGGTTGTTGCATTTATAGAACGTAAATAAAACAAGACATATGGGGCGTTGCAAGAAAGTTGCAATCAATTGCAAATCCCCAGATCGAGCGTAATTCTGATCACAACTAAACTTTCTTGCAATGCCCCATTAGTAAGTAAGAGAGAGAGAGAGAGAGAGAGAGAGAGAGAGAGAGAGAGGGAGGGGGGGGATTAAAGCTACATCTAGTTAACTTAATTCAATTGTTAAAGCTTTAATCCTAACAAAATCCTAAAAAATTTAGGCGAGTAGTGGGGCGTTGCACGAAAGTTGAGTTGCAATCAATTGCAATTATCAGTTGCAAATTTTGCAACTTGCAATCAATCGTAACTTGCATTCAATCACAACTTTCTTGCAACGCCCCATAAGTGTACCAAAGTCACATCACCAGACCAACTCCTAACCGAACAATAGCAGACAAAGTCTTGAAATACTGGTTTTCCCATCAATGTGACTGGATTTACTGTTATACAGTATAACTTTTTCATTCTCTTAGCCAAGTGACATTCAACAGGCATGTCCAGGAGGCCTAAATCTATTGTCCTAATGGTAGACTGATGAATACCAATCAGTCAGAATAAGTTAAGAGAGCTGAGGTACATGACTGTGTCATGGACTAGTGATAGCCTGGTAGTATAAGTGCTACACGGCAAGCAGTAGATGGCAGGTTCAAATCCTGCTGGTTCCAAGATTCGGTCTGACTGGTTTTTGATTACAAGATCGAGCATGCAATCTTTATCTACTAGGTGCAAGCTAAACATTTCTTTACAACAAGGCTTGTCCACGTTGCGGGGAAATTTCTTTAGAGGTTAAAAATCAGTGTGATACTGAGTATAGGGATTTTTCTTGCATGCTGCTACATATGGGACAAACTCCCTACTTCACTCCCATTGTTTTAAAGGGAATACCTAACTTGATAGCAAACTACTCATCAGAGAAGCATACAGGTGAAATTTTAAATGAAATCCGATACAAAATGAGAAAGTTATGAATTTTAGAAAGCTGCAATCAATATAGGAATGGTCTCTCCAAATTGGCTGAGTTGGTAATGTCTATGTGACATAGTGACAGTAAGCTTTTCCATTTGTTCTAGCACACAAAATGATTACATTTTTTGAAGTTTTCAAAAGTCTATGACTTGGGATGGCCTTTTCTTTTTAAAGGACCTGCATTAATATACTCCATAATATATTTTTATTTGGACCAGGTATGATTGTTTGTTCAATAGAAAATATCCAATTATTATTTTCATATTTTGGGAAATTGTGATGCCCCAATTATTATTTTTTCCCCAACTGGAATATGATTACGGCAAATGGACTTACCTTTCCTGCCTTGATGACCCTTTCAACTGAATCGGTTATGGTCTTGGCATACACCTCAAGGCTGTACATAAAGACAAAGATCATTGTACTTCTTAACATGTAGTCATAAACAAACAGGAACATCTTCTGTCTTTGATTTTAAATGACATTGTTTGTGAAACAAATATTTTACTAAGTTAGAATGCCACAATAAGGATATGTTAATATGTTTAACTTTGTTTGTTTGTATATTTTACCTGGCTGCTAAGAAAGCATGTGTATGCTTGTAAGTGAGTAACCAGGGGACCAATGGCTTTAAGTCCTCTCCAAGAGACTTGGTAATGAGGATTAATGCCTTACCAAAGGGCACAAGCATTGGTTTCGAACGAGAGAATACCCTGTTACGAGACCACTGCTCTAATGAGCAATTGTCTTCTCATTTTTTGTTTATTGGAACACAGTGACATCATCTTTTCATTAATATTGTATATTTGTATTTGGCGAAGTCCAAGATATGTCGCATAGATTACCCAATATTGAATCATGTTATGGAATTGTGAACATGAATTGACATAATATTATTTTATTTGATGTTTGTCCTATTCAAGCTCTAGTTAGGCTGTAAGCTTTATACAGACATCAGACATTATGAAATCTCCCCCCCCCCCATATCTTTGCTCCAATGGGCAATTATTATTTTTTACAACAAAATTAAAAACAAACTTTTACATTTTATACAACCAATATCCAAACAATATTTGTATATATTATTAAAATACATGCTTTAACTCATTTCTTTTTCCATTTATAGCGTAAATTTACTGCTCATCGTTATATGTCTTTACTATATTTGTTTATCTTATGAAAAACAGGAAATGTCATATGAAGTCTAGAAAAGAAAGTTGTTGCTTTACCTGTACTATGATAAATGTAAAAATGACATTAGGAAATCTGAGATATGATCGGTAATGTATGGGACAAAACAGCTTGGGTTTGCCTAGCAATGCAACAATGATAGAGAATGTGTTGCATCATTGAAGACACCACCCCAGACCATAGAGTTTGAGGAGCCTGAACATCACTACCGGTACTCACTTGAGATGTTGGAGCATGTTAGCAGCAGTCAGCAGCATACAGGTAGGGTTGGCAATACTTCGACCCTGGGCCTGGGAGAAGGTGTGGCGTGCTCCCTGCACAAAAAAAAGAAAAGAAAAGAAAACATTTTGATTGGCATTAGCTAACAAGTAGGAACTCAGTATCTTCAGTAGAACAAATTCATACATGCAACACGTCTTGAAGTACTACGATAGTACTGCATCAAAGAATATATCCTGAAAATGAATGAACACAGGACAAACGAAGAGAAGTACAGCAATTCAAGACACCAGACATTGGATCTACATCAATCAACAAAATTAGAATAAATACGGTCACAGCAGAAACTAGACAATCCACTATCTGCTCGAGCAGAAATTGCTACAGGATTTATTTTTGTCAAAGATACAGTTGGAGCACAGGTGATGACTGAATTTTTGGTTAGGTTTTGAGGATGGGTTAGGGTTAGATACAAAGTTTGGTCCAGGGAAGAACAAAGGAATTTTGGTTTAATAGTGATATGGAGTGACAGTAGAGCACTTGTTGACTAATGTGTGCCATCGAATTGGACATTAAACTACTATCAAGGCAGAATTGTCATTTTACTCAGAAAAAAAGAATTACCTGTTGGCAAAATTATATTCTCCTTAACTTCTGACTAACACATTTTTATCCAAATGAAGCAGTATGATACCTTGGATTATTATCAAAATAAGGCTTCCAAGTGGTACAATAAATCAATGTATTCATTATCTTTAGCGCAGTACCTGGATTACTGACCAATATTGTTTTTGTTTTGCTCAGACATCTGGAAATTTCCATATTTAGCGAGGTACATGTAAGTCAAATTTTGTTATTTCGCTGGTCAGCAAGATATAGATAATAATAATAATATTATATGGCTTTGTTTTTGTGTAATACAAGAATATATTGCTCTCGTTATAACAACATTGGACTCATCTCCGACTCGTTCAATATTGCCATAGCTCAAGTAATATATTCTTGTATCACACTCAAAGCCATCCAATGTTATAAATAACATTGAAAAACAACACACATAAGCATTTGTGACTCACTGGTTCGAAGATTGCATAGTCTTTCGAGAAGTTTTCTCCAGGGACCACTCCAGCCCCGCCCACTAGACCTGCGGCAAGGTTGTCGACGATGTTGCCATAGAGATTGGGCGTGACCATGACATCAAACTGATGAGGGTTGGAGACGAGCTGCATGCAGGTGTTGTCAACGATCATGGCCTCAAACTCGATCTTGGGGTAGAGGGTAGACATCTGACGACAGCTCTCCAGGAACAGCCCATCACTCAGCTTCCTGTAGTACAAGGAATTTAAATAGATAGTTTGAAAGGTATAAGTTTACATTAAAGGGGAACAAATCTTGATAACAAACTGCTCTAGAGGAAAGCAGAAAAATCAGAGAAGTAGACTAGTGAAAGTTTGAATGAAATCAGATAGAAAGTGAGAAAGTTATACATTTTCTAAAGTTGTAATCATTATAGGTATAGGCTCTTAAAATTGGCGGAATCAGCATGTCTCTCTGATGTAGTGTCGGACAACTTTCCCATTTGTTACAACACAAAAAATAACTAGAATATCAATTTTTCATTAATATAGATGTGAGTTGTTCAACTAATACTCACATGATGTTGGCCTTGTGTACTGCAGTGACCTTCTTCCTACCATGTTTAGTGGCATAGTCAAAGGCAAACTTGGCAATCCTTTCTGACTTGGCCCTGGTGATGATCTTCAAACATTCTACAACTCCGGGTACGCTCTATACAAAGGTAAACAAAAAGTTACGTGATATAATGATGATCAAAATGACAGCAAGCGTTCTCAAAGTACCATATTTACAGTAAACAATTAATCTTGTTTAAGATATTTTAATATCCTCATCATGAGACTTCATAAATGATCATTCTTATGCTATCTATACTAAGGCAGTTTTCACAGACTTTTGGTCATCAGGTAGACAAGTCTCAGGATCCTGCTAGGATATCATTTTCAAACTTCATCTGTTATAAGTCTGCACAGTATTCGGTCCTACATCAGTCATATTTCTACACAGATGTACATTAAAGATGCAGAGGAGTGGGCTCTCATGTGACACCATCAGTGTGCTTACCAAATAATAGGTATTGTCAATCACTAGGATTACCCATCAGTTTTTTATGACCAACGGGCCTTACGTAATGCTCTGCATTTTCCATTTGGGAAAGTCGTTTTTTTGCATTTCCCTCAACCAAAGACTCTCCAAGAGACTCAGGATATTTCTTGATGGGATAACAGGTTTGCTGTGTGCGAGACTTGTACACCCATTATATTTCCACCAAGTCAGCAAATAATGACCTACAGTACTGCACATGGAAACTGACGGCCATCTCCCTTTATAATGGGAAAGCTATGCTTGATTAACAACAAATGCACGCAAGTGTGATAATTGTAACATCTTAGTTGTTTCCTTGAGGAATAGAATTCATACCACTAAAGAAGTCGATCAAGGACTTGAACCGCTTACCTCATGTTCAAGTGCACTGTACTCTCCTTCTGTCTGTTCCCTGATGACCACAAAGTCCAGGTTGGAGTGTCTGGTCTTCACACCGGGGATCGTACGGCAGCGGACAACATTTGCAAACAGGTCCAGTTCGTTCCTGTACGATGAAAAGGAAGAAAAACAGATAATAGTTAGTATCAAGGGGACCAAAGAATGACGGTTCATTAATTCAATCCACATTAAGAGGTAAAAAATTTGAATCCCTATCAAGTGTGTTTTGCCTCAGAAAAGGTATTTTATCTACAATTCCATCTTGCCTAACAATAAAGTCCTATTTAACTTGTTTGCGCTTGCAGCTACATAAGAGACAAAAATAGATTCAAATTTGACCATCTTAGTCATAAAATAAATGCAGGTGTTATTTTTATTCTCAATCAAAGCAACAACAAAAAAACACTTATTACACATTGGGAAGAAAAATATTTAAAGCCCCACTGCACTACTAGCTACTTGCGCCCTCTATACAGCAAACAATGCCTAATCGGTGACCATTGGTCCCCCATGGTCCCCTTTTTCTTATGTTAATTGAAAGCTGAGTTGATGAGATAACCACCTGTCAGTGACCATGCAGGGAGGTCTAAATCCCTCCTGGCTAAACTAGTGCAGAGGGGTTTAAAAGATGCCCTAGGACTAATAGGAGTAGAAAATGCAAAGTGGGTTACATAGAAATGTTGCACACACAACATGGTAGTCAGGCTAGATCCTACATATATTTAACATATATCCCTCTTTCTCACACACATACAAAATTCAACCAACAACAAAACGATATCAAGTTATCAACATCATCAAACAGAAAGAAAGAAGAATGTTTTGTCAATATCTAAATACATTTCTACTGTTAGTTTGAAACTTTTCTGGTTCTAATTATAAGATTTGAACAAACCTCATTTTCATGTTGAGTGTCTGGAGTTGTCCTGTGCCACCAGTAGGTGTGTGGATGATTCCCTTGAGGGCCACATGGTTCTTCTTCAGGGATTCCACCACTTCATCAACGCCGGCATGTTGATGGTCCATCACCTCACTGGTGGGTGCAGATAACACAATGAGAATTTAAAAAAAACTTATGATAAAATATGATAACTGTAGTTTGAAGTATACTGTAAAATCATTAGGTGTGTGGATGATTCCCTTGAGGGTCACATGGTTCTTCTTCAGGGATTCCACCACTTCATCAACGCCGGCATGTTGATGGTCCATCACCTCAATGGTGGGTGCAGATAACATGAGATTAAAAAAAATAATTATGATAAAATATGATAATTATAGTTAGGATTATACTGTAAAATCTGTCTTGTAAAATTACATTAGTTGTGCGGATGATTTCTTTGAAGGCCACATGATTCTTCTTCAAAGATTCCACAACTTCATCTACGTCACCATTTCGATGATCCATCACCTCACTTGTGGGTTCAAAGAACACAACAAAAATTTACTTCAATTGAGTGACTTTTTTCCAAATATCCCTGAATCTCCCTGCTTGTAGAAATTAAAATCCTTTTCCCTTTTTGGAAACCCTGATAGCACGTATGTTTCTTTTCATTGGCGCTTTCTGATATGCATGGCAAAATATTAAGATTCCATATACCCCTTACCTGATAAAGATTTCATCAAACTGCACAGGCACACCACCGGCTTTGAAGACCTCTTTCACTGACTGCATGAGTTCAGGTCCCACACCATCTCCAGGAATTAGAGTGACTGTCTTTATATCATCAGACTAGAAAAAACATACAGATATAAAACAAAGGTAAAGTATCTCGCTTGAGTATTTGCTACTACCACCAAGCGCCATGAGCACCGAAAGGTGGACCTGTGTGCTATACAAGTAGCCACTATTTTTATTATTATTAAAAAGGTAGAAATAAGTTATTGTTTACAGCTCTCATTTTTCTATCAAAAGCAGCCTGCATTGCTTCTGGAGGAATATTATTACAAAGTATTAAGTCCCTCTGAGAGGACTTAAAGCCATTGGTCCCCTGGTTGCTTACTTACAGCATACGCATGCTTTCTTAGCAGTCGGGTAAAACAAACAAACCAAGTCCTCACACTTTGTATTTATCTTCTGCGATCAAATAAGGGTTGTTTCTTATCAAGTATATGTTGATATTATGTGACCTCTGTCTATTTCTCTAAATACTGGTTCTTTTCCCAAGTACGGATATTAGTGGTGTTCATAAAATTTTACTCCATATTCAGTTCAACCTGTCTATCAAGGTCACAAAATGGAAACAGGATGAGAGGCCAATATGGAAAGGTGGCCTTTCTAGAGGGTTCTACAATACATGTTTCTTTCTGCAGGGATACCATATAGAAGCAACCATTAAAGGGAAAGTCCACCCCCAAAATAAGTTTGTTTCGATAGAGGCAGAATAATAAGAAAATCAGGTGAGTGAAAGTTTGAGCAAATTCTGAATGAAAATAAGAAAGTTATGAATTATTGAAGTTGTGATCAATCAAATACAAATTGGCAACTCTGTGACTTATTATACGAGCTCTCCTTCATTTGCTTTGTGCAAAATATTCCATAAAATCATGTTTTCTTCGTTATTGATGACGGAATATATATTTGTTCCTTGCAGGGGGAGTATAGAAACATATTTGCAATTATTATATTTAGGGTGCATGTATGGTTGGAATTTTTCTTGAGGGAAAATGAAAATTTTAGATTTTTTTTAGTACTGAGCAAATGGAAGTTGAGCTCGCATGATACGTCATAGAGTTGCCAATTTGTGTTTGATTGATCACAACTTCAAAAATCCTAACTTCCTTATTTTTAATCGGAATTTGCTCAAACTTTCACTGACTTGTTTCTCTCATTTTTCTACTCCTATTAAAACTAACTTAATTTCAGGGTGGACTTTCCCTTTAAGCGATAGACAGGTTGCATTTATTAGGGGACCACAGGGACAGTTTTTACTTCAGGTATCAATGAAAGGAAACAAATGGACATGGATCTTACAAAAAGCACATTATCTTGGATTTACCTGGTTCGTAACAGCTGTAGCAGAGAAGCATCGCTGAGCGCCATAATTGTGGTGCTTGGATAGCTGCAATGACAATCAATGAAAAGAACTGCTTGTAAAATCATATCACAACTAAAAGGATTTATATACCTCATTTTAAGATTCTTTACTAATCCTGTCTTCTAATTGGTTGAAAATGCAGCCATGTTCTTAACCATGCCCGCTAATTGAAATTCATAGTCATTTTTCCCGGCTCTACCGGTTTATATCCATTTTTCATAGCACTTTTTCCATGGCTGTGAAACGTGACGTCATTTTGCTGCGATCCCCATTTTGGTTTACGTGTTACCGTATAAGTTTCTTTTGTGCGATGACCGATGCGCAATACCGTTAACGGTGTTTGAGTGCAATTTGATTTTGGTCGCTGCATTCAGGCGACGAATCTACCAATCCACGCAGCGCAGACGACCGATCGCCATTTTGTGTACTAGTCTCGATCGCAAAATACTGGGGTTTTTAGTTTCCAATTTTTTGTCAATAAAGAGGCAAAATGGAGGACACAGCTATGCCAAGATTTCAACTTATGGATGACATTCAGCTGCAAGACTTAATTGATTCTGCTGATAGCAAAAATACGAAGTATGCAGTAAAATACGGCATTAAAATATTTGAAGAGTTCTTGCGAAATGTCAACACGGACCTCGGAGATGTAAACAGACTTCCGAATGCAGACCTGGACAAGATCCTTCAAAAATTCTATGCGGGTTGCAGGCAGAAGAACGGCGATTATTATAATTTATAAAGTTACTGTTCATGTTCTACTGTTCTACTGGAGCACAGCTTGTTGGTGATATCATCCTGTACAAAAGTTACTGTTCGTGTAAACGTGTTTGGTATTCCCTGTTCTACTGGAGCACAGCTTGTTGGATTTCATACTGTACACAAGTTATTGTTGGTGTTAATATTCATGAGGAAAAACTGTGATAACGCCATTACGAACGTGTAGATGGCGCACAGTTTTTCTTTCATAATCATTTTGCCTTCGGCGTAGACTAGAAGGGATGAGATTGACGGCAGCGAGAGTTTAACACGGCTTCCAAGATTTTCAACATGGATGTCGATTTTGACCTATAATTTCCTTAAAAGGGACCATTAAACGGATTATTTCAATCAAGTTAGTAAGTGGAACCGATGTATTATAGCCTAGGCCTAATGTAAAATTGGATATGGACGAGGTAAAATGACATTTTGGGGGATTTTGGGGGCATAACAATACGGCCATGGCAAGTTTGTCATGTTTGTGGGAGGGGCCTAACGGCTAAAATCTAGCCGTGATATCTTCAACATAGGCTGGCATAGGCGATCGTTCTGTCTCTATAAACCGGAGGTCTAGTGGAGCCAGACGTAGTCTCAGTGGAACAACCGACGGTATAGAGACTGAAGCTTTCGGTCTAGGTCTAGACTAGACCGAAAGCTTCAGTCTCTCTAATCGTCGGTTGTTCCACTGAGACTACGTCTGGTTCCACTAGACCTCCGATTATAGAGACTGAAGTCTGGGGACCTCTTTCTGTGAGGCACTGTACGGAACAAATGGTTCGGTTCGACCGGACCGCGATGAATGAGATATGCAACAAGATTTTCACTCTTTACATCCTCATACATGCTGCAATATGACAATAATTTAGAGTCTAATTAAAAATAACATATATATAGCTTATTTGACTTACGATAGCTTGCTCATTTAGATCCTAAAAAAATGATTAATCCGAGAAAGTCTCGTCGTCAACATTATCCGTCTTGGTTTTAGTTGATGAATATTCATTTTTTCTTTTCGAACGTCCAATAGCTACCGTAGCTACGTACGAGTCGGCCCAGCTTGACCAACGAACTCCCACGAAACGAGTGCTCTGATTGGCCATTTGGCTATGTTTTGGTAGGTGGACCCGGAAATATATCGGCCTCCGGGTAATATTTCGAATGCATGAACGTACCGTTTCACAGTTCGGAAATACAAATTGGATAATTCATATAAGTAAGTCCGTAAATTATACATTTAATATTAAGTTATCAAATTTTGATAACTGTAATTAGGACAAATGACATACCGACCTAATTTACATCTGATTTAGAAATCAGAAAATTAGATCTAAATAAAGAAAATCGGGGAGAAAATGTTTTGACATAAAAAGCTGCCATTGTTGGCTATAGCTACCCCCACGGTACGAGATCTCTGGGTTGCCATCTGTATTGGGGAATGACAACAAATGTCAGTTTTATTAAAGAAATGACCCAAATCAGATGGTTATTGCTGTCTAGGTCTAGACTAGACCGAATTTTCCGTCTCTTTCGTTCGTTAGCCTCTTATTGGGGTAGGGTCGGCTCTCTCTTTAGAGACGGAAGCCGTTTATACACATGTCCTTGCTAACGCCACGGCCAGTCCTGGTCGTAGCGTTTTGCCCCCAAAATCCCCCAAAATGTCATTTTACCTCGAGCATGTTATATTGTAAATTAGGCCTAGGCTATAATAAATCAGTTCCACTTACCAACTTGACTGAAATAATCAGTTTAATAGTCCCTTTTTTAGGAAATTATGGGTCAAAATCGAAATCCATTTTGAAAATCTTTTTCAACATGGATTCCGATTTTGACCCATAATTTCCTAAAAAGGGACTATTAAACTGATTATTTCAGTCAAGTTGGTAAGTGGAACTGATTTATTATAGCCTAGGCCTAATTTACAATATAACATGCTCGAGGTAAAATGACATTTTGGGGGATTTTGGGGGCAAAACGCTACGACCAGGACTGGCCGTGGCGTTAGCAAGGACATGTGTATAAACGGCTTCCGTCTCTAAAGAGAGAGCCGGCCGACCCTACCCCAATAAGAGGCTAACGAACGAAAGAGACGGAAAATTCGGTCTAGGTCTAGACTAGCTTTTAATTTTAACAAACAATGAATATCTTATCAATATCAGGTTTTTGTTTACATCATTATTCCCGCCGGCTAGATAATACCAATATCATATTCCATATTTATCACCTAAACAATAAATCTAACTAGATCTAGTCTAGAGTCTATGCCCATGCCGATGGTCTCTGCGAATGCAGAACGAGCGCAGACGTGCAAACGTTTAGCCAAAGGCCAAACAGAGCTGAGCGGCGCGGCACCGCAGCGATGGCCCGGACTCCGGGGACGGGCAAGTGAAGTTAACCCACGGCCCACGTCAAGTCGAACAGAAAATATTCAACCCGGTAATTTTATAATTTTACCCCGTAAAACGTACTTTATCTCCAAGAAGTGAGTTGAAACTGACCACAATTTACCACTCTAGTTACGTAGTTCAAATCACATTTGAAATGGTCCGAAAATCCTTGACATTATTGTAAAACTTGATTACCTTTACAGCAGACCGGAAAATCTTCGTCATGGAACTCGCCATCTTGATCACTGAATGATGACGTCATACTAGAATTTGCATGCGGATTATATTAATATGCATACTTTGCCTTCAGAGCTTTTCTTCGGGGAGAGAAGGGGGGGGGGGGGGGATAGCCTGTTAGGCCTGTGCCCCCATTCCCCGAAGACTGTGGCGTATTCAGAAATTTATTACAAAAAGAGGGGAGGGGTGGTAGTCTTCACCACTATGAGAAAAAACACAATTGACAACTACGTAGCACCGAAAATTGAACATCCATCCCAGCAACTTAAATTAGGTGATCCTTATTTTGAACTGAAACAATTATAACAAGTATTTCCCTCCACCAGTGGCGGATCTAGTGGGGGGGGGGGGGGGGGGGTGGTCGGTGTTGAGTAAAAATTGAAAATAGTGTGCTCACTATAAATCCCCCCCCCCCCGTTGAGCAAAAAAAAAAGAAAGAAAACGAATTAGTGCTCTTATCCCCCCCCCCCCCCCCCCGCTTATCGCCGGCTGGCTGATTCGGCGCTAAATATTTTCTCACAGATGTGACCACTATACTATAGACAGGTTGCATTTATTAGGTGACCACAAAGACAAGTTTGACTTCAGGTATCAATGAAAGGAAATGAATGTAGGCCTACATGTATCTTACAAAAAGCACATTATCTTATATTTACCGGATCCGCCTTAACTGCCCCTTATTTTAATGTACTGCACATTCCATGACTGAAAAATCACAACAAAAATGGTATCATTTTAAAGAAGAATAAACACACTTTCTATAATACAGACAGAGCTATGCCAAGAGAGATATAATATATCAAACTTGAGTTCATATATATATATATATATAGATATTTGATATTGATGTTCCTCCTGAATTATTCTTTTTTCTGCGCTTAATTTGGTTATTTTATATTATTCTAGCTCTTGTGTAGAAAATATTTGGATTACGAGTTATCCAACAACTTATTTGTTTGTACTGGTTTAATTTTGGGGTTTTTTTCCCGCTAGTTTTGATATATCCTCGCTTCGTCATATTTGTATTCCTACATAATATATACTCCCATCATGTTCATTGATTTGTCTGTGCCCGGAAAACAAACAAAAATATGTAGCTATAATAATTTCCAATTTTTTTCCTCAGATCCTATAGTGAAATGTTGTGCATTAATGTACAGTGCATAATAATTCCTACATAAGATCTACAGTACAGTGGAATACTGCCACCTTGGTCCAATGGTCGTATAGTTCCCTGCTTAAAATATTTCAATCCAAAATTCATAATTTTCGAAGTCCCTATCATACTCAAACGGCTCTTGCAAAATCGAGCATGTTAAGGGAGGGAGGAAGAGAGAGAAAGCGAGAGAGAGAGAGAGAGAGAGAGAGAGAGAGAGAGAGAGAGAGGGGGGGCAAACAGGGAGAAGCGAAGAAGGACAGAAAGAAGAAAAAAAAAGAAGAAAAGGTAAGGAAACGTCGTGCGGGGAACCATATCGCGAAATTTTCAAATGCCCTCTTTTTTGCTTGAAAATTCCAATTGTGTAACCTTCATCAGTTCTTATAAAATGGGCTATCATTCTGTCTGTTAAATAGTAAATAGGAATATAGGGTATAGGAACATACAACGTTTTACACTGGTAAATTGTCGTATTAGACAATGACTCTTTAAATCACTGTGAAATGGACACGACGTAAACACCAGAAAGAAATTCCACGAAGATTACAAGCTGGGGAAATCAATTAAATGAAATTAGAAAGGAGTGACAAATATAGTATTTTCACACACACAGGAGGCTGCGAATATATGCAAAAGCGTAAACATAGATTTTGTTTGTTTGTAGTGCATAACATTTATCAACATAATAGCTACAAAATTATATAACTGAAATACATTCCTTTATTATGAGGATACCAAATACTTTGTATATGACTTGTGTATACATGTTCTTATTTATCATCTTTTGTTATTATTATTACTATTATTGTTATTATATGTATATTTTTAAAACTATCGTTCCTCATTATATTTAACATGGCCTCATGGAAGACCACCATCATTGGAAATAACGAGTCACCCTGTCTACATATCAGAAATAAATAAAATAATCAATCATTGCTTGTTGGCATATTTTGTCTCTACAATCTCCAGTTGGCTTTATAGAAAAGAAAAAAAACGAGTACGAACAAACTGTACTTAACAAATTAATATTTTTTGTAACATCAATGAATAGTGTACAAAGGTTAATAAATATAATGCGATTAAAACAATTCTGATTTTTTCCCCTTCTGTTTGACATGTGAACGTTGTTTTGTGCCGAGAAAATTTTTGATGAATAATAATGCGATCGAAAAATACTTCAAAGGAAGAATAAATGCTATGTCAATAACTTTAAACCCTATGCTCGCCTCTTATATTCTATTTGTCTACATCAAATGTGTTTTTGACGATGGAAAGTGACGCTTTTCAGGTGATAAAAGTAGAAGAAATAAAGGGGGAAAATGGTGGTCACGTCTTAGAGCAAATAATGGTTCTATGTACATGGATCAATGAATGACCCCGTTTTGAACAGAATACGATCGAAATGCAATCAGATCCAATTTTGCTCCGGTGCTCTCATATCGCTGGCGGACCCCGAGTGCGTTGATTACGGGGGTGGTCGGTCGAATAGGGCTTTGCGACTATATGATTATCAATGCATCGATGAGCGAACCGTCCCCATAGTTTTATTAACAGAAATAGGGTTACTTTTAAAGTAGGCATATTATGTAAATGCAGTATTGACCAGCCCCCCTCCCTCACCACTTCTTTTGATTTAGCTATTAGTTGGTCAGGATCAGTGGCGTACGCAGGATTTTTTCAAGGGGGGGGGGGGGGTTTAAAATCGGGTCCAAAATTTCGCAACGACTCAGGAAAATTTGAAAATCGCGCCGGCCAAAAAGTCGCTCAGTGGGGGGGGGGGGGGGGGGGGGGGGGGGGTAAGCGGACATTTTTTTGTTTTTTGGGGGAGCCCAAAAAAAAATCGCAACGACTCAGCCAGCCGAAAAGTCACTCAGTGGGGGGGGGGGGGGGGGGGGGGGGGGGGGGGGGGAGTAAGCGGACACTTTTTTTTTTTTTGGTCTCAAAAAAATCACAACGACTCAACCGACCGCTGAATAAGCGGGGGGGGGGGGGGGGGGTAAGAGGACACTTTTTTTTTGTCTCAAAATTCGAAAAATTGACATTTTGATCCGTTGGGGGGGGGGGGTAAGGTCACCTTTCTTAGGTCAGCCATGGGGGTGATTTTTTTTTTTTTTTTTTTTAATAATTAAAAAAAAAAGAAAAAAAAACCAAAGGGGGGGGGGTGGGGGTTTTAGGGATTTTTTAGGGGGGTTTACACACATAAAAATACCAAAGGGGGGGGGGGATTTAACCCCCCAAACACCCCACTGCGTACGCGCCTGGTCAGGATTGCCACAGTTTTAGAGATTATTTTCTGTAAATAGAGTCAAAACATAAATGTGATTATTTTTTGTGCAACTGCAGTTTACGCATTGTAGCTTAATTGTAGCTTTTGTGGTAAAACATATCCTAATAGTTTCCAGTGACACGACAGTTTTAAGTACTAGTTCTAAATTTAAATGATAATGACATGACCCTTTTCTTTTATCAACAGTGGCAATTATGTTTTTTTTTAAAGAAAGATGATATTGATATAAAAAATAAAAACCTCATCCCTATCGACGAATGCGCACTCAAATATATCCCTGCCCTTTTTAAAATGCCATCTTACCAGTCTTCGAAGTACGTCTCTAAGACTGTCTAGATACTGTCTGAGCTAGGATCAGTGCTCAAGACTTATTTGAATTGAGTTTAAGTGTCACGCATGCATCTGCAGGCAAGACGCTGGGCTAATATATACATGTATATAGTAGGTTCTGAAATACGCCCTACAGTACTTTCTTTTTACTTGCCATATGGATAACTTATCCCCGACAATTCAATCAATGATCTTTAGTGTACATGTCATACTGATTAGAAAATAAGATCTTTATAATGGGTATTCATGATTTCATCGCGTAATATTTCGGACAGACCATGCTGATTGTTAATGTCAAATATGTCCCTAAGAGCCCTGCGATGGCAAACACATTATGATTTAACAAGAACCTATAATTATTCTAGTCTCAAATTCCAAAATAGCGATTTCATATTCCCATAGAATCCTCTTTGATATGTTAGTGATCGGAAACCCATCTCCAAGTGCTTAGGGGTACTTTTCCATCTAAATCAGGTGATGGTTATATTTCAATAAAAACCCATCGGAATGTAGAAGATTTTTGCAAATTAATGTAATTTTAAACGTTTTGGTGAATCATTCAACCCATGTTGTAATGATGGTAACCTGGTATCAGTGTAAGAGAGTCATATGATCTTTGTTGAAGAAACGAAACAGAATAAAACAACATAACATTTTTTGTATTATTAACTAATTCGTCGTTTAGAAGGAGCGCAATTTATTCCGAAGGAGATTAATGACTTATACCATATTATGTGAGAATAGTCTGTGCCTTAAAAGCCAGGGCCTGAGGCTGCTTAATAAGAAATGACTTTTGTTACTATGATTGGCGTGAGAAGGGGAGCATCGAACTTGTAAGGCTCTTTAATGCTCGTGACGCATCGTGGGACATCGTGGAATATCGTAAGGGGGTGGGGCTGGATCGTGGAGCGTCGTACCTCAATCGCTGCTCCTTGCCTATATACAAGAAAATGTGACTAGTAATGTCTCTGTAAGTATGATGAAAAACAACAACGTGAGTGGGCGGAGAAAATATGTGTGTATGTGTGTGAGAGCATTCAGAGAGAGAGAGAGAGAGAGAGAGAGAGAGAGAGAGAGAGAATTGAGATTTGTGTAGACAAGGTAAAAGCCGGGGGCTATCTCCCGTCGTCATAACAATTGAAAATATTTTAAATGCCTGTTTCATATCAAGTTTTACACAATAAGAAAAGTATCTATAGGCTATTTGTGCCATAACAAAATAAAAAATATCTATACAT